CAACATAAACAGTCTGAATACAACATAAACAACATAAACAGTCTGAATACAACATAAACAGTCTGAATACAACATAAACATCATAAACAGTGAATACAACATAAACAGTCCTGAATACAACATAAACAGTCTGAATACAACATAAACAGTAATACAACATAAACAGTCAACATGAAACAACATAAACAGTCCTGAATACAACATAAACAGTCTGAATACAACATAAACATGTGTTAATACAACATAAACAGTTGAATACAACATAAACAGATGAATAAACATAAACATCCTGAATACAACATAAACAGTCATGAATACAACATAAACAGTCATAAACATGGGTGAATACAACATAAACAGTCCTGAATACAACATAAACAGTCTGAATACAACATAAACAGTCTGAATACAACATAAACAACATAAACAGTCCTGAATACAACATAAACAGTCTGAATACAACATAAACAGTCAACATAAACATCCTGAATACAACATAAACAGTCCTGAATACAACATAAACAGTCCAACATAAACAGTTGAATACAACATAAACAGTCTGAATACAACATAAACATCCTGAACAACATACAGTTGTTACAACATAAACAGGAATACAACATAAACAGTTGTTAAACATGGAATACAACATAAACAGTCATGGGTACAACATAAACAGTCTGAATACAACATAAACAAGTTGAATACAACATAAACATGGGTGTTACAACATATAAAAGTTGTTGGCATGGGTGTTATACAATATAAAAAGTTGTACAACATAAACATGGGTGTGAATACAATATAAACAGTTGGCTGGGTGTTAATACAATATAAACAGTTGGCATGAATGTAGGAGACAGATACAACATAAACAGTTGTTGGCATTACAACATAAACAGATATAGAACATAAACATCCTGTTACAACATGGGTGTTAAAGACAGATATAGAACAGTTGTTGGCTGATAGGAACAATATAAACAGTTGTTGGCATGGGTGTTAAAAGTTGTTGGCAGGGTGTTAGGAGACAGATATAAACAGTTGTTGGCATGGGTGTTAGGAGACAGATATAGAACAGTTGTTGGCATGGGTGTTAAACAGATATAAAAGTTGTTGGCATGGGTGTTAGAAAGTCTGAATAGAACATTGTTGGCATGGGTGTTGGGGACAGATATAGAAAGTTGTTGGCATGGGTGTTAGAAGACAGACATATAAAGTTGTTGGCATGGGTGTTAGGAGACAGATATAGAAAGTTGTTGGCATGGGTGTTAGGAGACAGATATAGAACGTTGTTGGCATGGGTGTTAGGAGACAGATATAAAAGTTGTGTGGGTGTTAGGAGACAGATATAGAAAGTTGTTGGCATGGGTGTTAGGAGACAGATATAGAAAGTTGTTGGCATGGGTGTTAGGAGACAGATATAGAAAGGTGTTGGCATGGATGTTAGGAGACAGATTTTAAAAGTTGTTGGCATGGGTGTTAGGAGTCAGATATAGAAAGTTGTTGGCATGGGTGTTAGGAGACAGATATAGAACGTTGTTGGCATGGGTGTTAGGTGACAGATATAGAACGTTGTTGGCATGGGTGTTAGGTGACAGATATAGAAAGTTGTTGGCATGGGTGTTAGAAGACAGATATAGAAAGTTGTTGGCATGGGTGTTAGGAGACAGATATAGAAAGTTGTTGGCATGGGTGTTAGGAGACAGATATAGAAAGTTGTTGGCATGGGTGTTAGGAGACAGATATAGAAAGTTGTTGGCATGGGTGTTAGGAGTCAGATATAGAAAGTTGTTGGCATGGGTGTTAGGAGACAGATATAGAAAGTTGTTGGCATGGGTGTTAGGAGACAGATATAGAAAGTTGTTGGCATGGGTGTTAGGAGACAGATATAGAAAGTTGTTGGCATGGGTGTTAGGAGACAGATATAGAAGGTTGTTGGCATGGGTGTTAGGGGACAGATATAGAAAGTTGTTGGCATGGGTGTTAGGTGACAGATACAGAAAGTTGTTGGCATGGGTATTAGGAGACAGATATAGAAGGTTGTTGGCATGGGTGTTAGGAGACAGATATAGAAAGTTGTTGGCATGGGTGTTAGAAGACAGATATAGAAAGTTGTTGGCATGGGTGTTAGGAGACAGATATAGAAAGTTGTTGGCATGGGTGTTAGGAGACAGATATAGAAAGTTGTTGGCATGGGTGTTAGGAGACAGATATAGAAAGTTGTTGGCATGGGTGTTAGAAGACAGATATAGAAAGTTGTTGGCATGGGTGTTAGGTGACAGATATAGAACGTTGTTGGCATGGGTGTTAGGAGACAGATATAGAACGTTGTTGGCATGGGTGTTAGGAGACAGATATAGAAAGTTGTTGGCATGGGTGTTAGGAGACAGATATAGAACGTATAGAAAGTTGTTGGCATGGGTGTTAGGAGACAGATATAGAAGGTTGTTGGCATGGGTGTTAGGAGACAGATATAGAAGGTTGTTGGCATGGGTGTTAGGAGACAGATATAGAAAGTTGTTGGCATGGGTGTTAGGAGACAGATATAAAAAGTTGTTGGCATGGGTGTTAGGAGACAGATATAGAAAGTTGTTGGCATGGGTGTTAGGAGACAGATATAAAAAGGTGTTGGCATGGGTGTTAGGAGACAGATATAAAAAGGTGTTGGCATGGGTGTTAGGAGACAGATATAGAAAGTTGTTGGCATGGGTGTTAGGAGACAGATATAGAACGTTGTTGGCATGGGTGTTAGGAGACAGATATAGAAGGTTGTTGGCATGGGTGTTAGGGGACAGATATAGAAAGTTGTTGGCATGGGTGTTAGGAGACAGATATAGAAAGTTGTTGGCATGGGTGTTAGGAGACAGATATAGAAAGTTGTTGGCATGGGTGTTAGGAGACAGATATAGAACGTTGTTGGCATGGGTGTTAGGAGACAGATATAGAACGTTGTTGGCATGGGTGTTAGGTGACAGATATAGAAAGTTGTTGGCATGGGTGTTAGGAGACAGATATAGAAAGTTGTTGGCATGGGTGTTAGGATGTTAGACAGATATAGAAAGTTGTTGGCATGGGTGTTAGGAGACAGATATAGAAGGTTGTTGGCATGAAAGTTGTTGGCATGGGTGTTAGGAGACAGATATAAAAAGGTGTTGGCATGGGTGTTAGGGGACAGATATAGAAAGTTGTTGGCATGGGTGTTAGGAGACAGATATAGAAAGTTGTTGGCATGGGTGTTAGGAGACAGATATAGAACGTTGTTGGCATGGGTGTTAGGAGACAGATATAGAAAGTTGTTGGCATGGGTGTTAGGTGACAGATATAGAACGTTGTTGGCATGGGTGTTAGGTGACAGATATAGAAAGTTGTTGGCATGGGTGTTAGGTGACAGATATAGAAAGTTGTTGGCATGGGTGTTAGGGGACAGATATAAAGTTGTTGGCATGGGTGTTAGGAGACAGATATAGAAAGTTGTTGGCATGGGTGTTAGGAGACAGATATAGAAAGTTGTTGGCATGGGTGTTAGGAGACAGATATAGAAAGTTGTTGGCATGGGTGTTAGGAGACAGATTTTAAAAGTTGTTGGCATGGGTGTTAGAAGACAGATATAGAACGTTGTTGGCATGGGTGTTAGAAGACAGATATAGAACGTTGTTGGCATGGGTGTTAGGAGACAGATATAGAAAGTTGTTGGCATGGGTGTTAGGAGACAGATATAGAAAGTTGTTGGCATGGGTGTTAGGAGACAGATATAGAAAGTTGTTGGCATGGGTGTTAGGAGACAGATATAGAAAGTTGTTGGCATGGGTGTTAGGAGACAGATATAGAAAGTTGTTGGCATGGGTGTTAGGAGACAGATATAGAAAGTTGTTGGCATGGGTGTTAGGAGTCAGATATAGAAAGTTGTTGGCATGGGTGTTAGGAGACAGATATAGAAAGTTGTTGGCATGGGTGTTAGGAGACAGATATAGAAAGTTGTTGGCATGGGTGTTAGGAGACAGATATAGAAAGTTGTTGGCATGGGTGTTAGGAGACAGATATAGAAGGTTGTTGGCATGGGTGTTAGGAGACAGATATAGAAAGTTGTTGACATGGGTGTTAGGGGACAGATATAAAAATATCATACCTACAATTATATTACAATTCAGGTTACCCCTCCTCTTAACTATAATACAGGATACCTCCCCTCATAACTATAACTCATGATACCTCCCCTCGTAACTATAATACAGGTTACCTCCCCTCGTAACTTTAATACAGGATACCTCCCCTCGTAACTATAATACAGGTTACCTCCCCTCGTAACAATAATACAGGTTACCTCCCCTCATAACTATAACTCATGATACCTCCCCTCGTAACTATAATACAGGTTACCTCCCCTCGTAACTATAATACAGGTTACCTCCCCTCGTAACTATAATACAGTTACCTCCCCTCGTAACTATAATACAGATACCTCCCCTCTTAACTATAATTCAGGTTACCTCCACTCGTAACTATAATACAGGATACCTCCCCTCGTAACTATAATACAGGTTACCTCCCCGCGTAACTTTAATACAGGATACCTCCCCTCGTAACTATGATACAGGTTACCTCCCCTCATAACTATAACTCATGATACCTCCCCTCGTAACTATAATACAGGATACCTCCCCTCGTAACTATGATACAGGTTAACTTTCCTTCGTAACAATAATACTGGTTACCTCCCCTCATAACTATAACTCATGATACCTCCCCTCGTAACTATAATACAGGATACCTCCCCTCGTAACTATAATACAGGATACCTCCCCTCGTAACTATGATACAGGTTAACTTTCCTTCGTAACAATAATACTGGTTACCTCCCCTCATAACTATAACTCATGATGCCCCCCCCTCGTAACTACAATAAAGGTTATCTCACTTCCAATCTGTAATTCATATCGTGCTTTGATTGTTTGATGTCATTATAATGACTCTGATTTGATTTTTTTATATTCCGACAGTGACTGTGTCGCTGATGTGTGCTTACTCTGTTAACCGGGAGTGCCAGGAGATGGCGCTGTGTACAGATGAACTGATATCCATGAATGAGACTATCACCTTTCATATGGGCACCAGCCAGATGATCAATATATGCACGTAAGTACACACGAATCTCTTCTGATCGATATCTCGTGATTTACATATGCTTGTGTAACAATACAATGTGTTTGTAATCTGGTCCAGCTCCATTGGACTGTTTCACTAGTGAAAATACAAAACACTCCTTGGATTTGATTGCTGGAGTATTTCTGGATACTGAACTACGACGAGGTTCTACAATTATGATTTTATTGATAAATTGACCATATACAACTCGCTACCCCTACCCCGCCTCCAACCCCCATCCCGCCTCCAACCCCCTCAAAAACATAGTTTTAATGTATGGATACTTTACACGTGGATATAAAACAGGAAGTATGGATATATAACAGGAAGTATGGATATATAACAGGAAGTATGGATATGTAACAGGAAGTATGGATATGTTAAAGGAAGTATGGATATGTAAAAGGAAGTATGGATATGTTACAGGAAGTATGGATATGTTACAGGAAGTATGGATATGAAACATGACGTATGGATATATATAACAGGAAGTATGGATATGTTACAGGAAGTATGGATATGTAACATGAAGTATGGATATATAACAGGAAGTATGGATATATAACAGGAAGTATGGATATATAGCAGGAAGTATGGATATGTAACAAGAAGTATGGATATATAACAGGAAGTATGGATATGTTACAGGAAGTATGGATATGTTACAGGAAGTATGGATATGTAACAGGAAGTATGGATATATTACAGGAAGTATGGATATATAACAGGAAATATGGATATGTTACAGGAAGTATGGATATGTAACAGGAAGTGTTGATATGTAACAGGAAGTATGGATATGTTACAGGAAGTATGGATATGTAACACGAAGTATGGATATGTGACAGGAAGTATGGATATGTAGCATGAAGTATGGATATGTAACAGGAAGTATGGATATGACAAGAAATATTGATGGGAAATATGGATATGTAACAGGAAGTATGGATATGTTACAGGAAGTATGGATATGTTACAGGAAGTATGGATATGTAACAGGAAGTATGGATATGTTACGAGAAGCATTGATGGCAAATATGGATATGTAACATGAATTATGGATATGTTAAAGGAAGTATGGATATGTTACATGAAGTATGAATATGTTAAAGAAGGTATGGATATGTTACATGAAGTATGGATATGTTAAAGGAAGTATGGATATGACAAGAAGTATTGATGGGAAATATGGATATGTAACAGGAAGTATGGATATGTTACAGGAAGTATGGATATGTAACAGGAAGTATGGATATGCTACAGGAAGTATGGATATATAACGTGAAGTATGGATTTGTTACAGGAAGTATGGATATGTTACAGGAAGTATAGATATGTTACAGGAAGTATGGATATGAAACAGGAAATATGGATATATAACAGGAAGTATAGATATGTAGCAGGAAGTATGGATATGTTGCAGGAAGTATGGATATGTTACAGGAAGTATTGATATGAAACAGGAAGTATGGATATGAAACAGGAAGTATGGGTATGTTACAGGAAGTAAGGATATGTTACAGGAAGTATGGATACGAAACAGGGAGTATGGATAGGAAACAGGAAGTATGGATATATAACAGGAAGTATGGATATGTAACATGAAATATGGATATGTTAAAGGAAGTATGGATATGTAACAGGAAGTATGGATATGTTAAAGGAAGTATGGATATGTTACAGGAAGTATGGATATGTAACATGAAGTATGGATATGTTAAAGGAAGTATGGATATGTTACATGAAGTATGGATATGTTACAGGAAGTATGGGTATGTTACAGGAAGTAAGGATATGTTACAGGAAGTATGGATACGAAACAGGGAGTATGGATAGGAAACAGGAAGTATGGATATATAACAGGAAGTATGGATATGTAACATGAAATATGGATATGTTAAAGGAAGTATGGATATGTTACAGGAAGTATGGATATGTAACATGAAGTATGGATATGTTAAAGGAAGTATGGATATGTTACATGAAGTATGGATATGTTAAAGGAAGTATGGATATGTTACATGAAGTATGGATATGTTACAGGAAGTATGGATATGTAACAGGAAGTATGGATATGTAACAGGAAGTATGGATATGTTACAGGAAGTATGGATATGTTACAGGAAGTATGGATATGTAACAGGAAGTATGGATATGTTACATGAAGTATGGATATGTTACATGAAGTATGGATATGTTACAGGAAGTATGGATATGTCACAGGAAGTATGGATATGTAACAGGAAGTATGGATATGTTACAGGAAGTATGGATATGTTACAGGAAGTATGGATATGTTACAGGAAGTATGGATATGTAACAGGAAGTATGGATATGTTAAAGGAAGTATGGATATGTTACAGGAAGTATGGATATGTTACAGGAAGTATGGATATGTTACAGGAAGTATGGATATGTAACAGTAAGTATGTATATATTACAGGAAGTATGGATATGTTACAGGAAGTATTGATATGTAACAGGATATGTAACAGGAAGTATGGATTTGTTACAGAAAGTATGGATATGTAACATGAAGTATGGATATGTAATAGGAAGTATGGATATGTAACAGGAAGTATGGATTTGTTACAGGAAGTATGGAGATGTAAGAAGAACGTCTTTTTCAGCCATTGTAGAAAATTCTGGGATGTATTATGTATGGTATTCGTGAAAATGTAAATTGTGATTTTAATCTTAGTTTAACTTGTTACGTTTGTGTTTGAATATTAGAATGTTTGAAGTTTCTTATTTTAAGTAAATCAAACGCTTTTCTCATCGGTGTGAAAATAACTAAATTATCCTTTCAGTCGATCGAGGGAAAGAAGACATTCATGAATTTTAAGTAATGAGAATGCCGATTACAAACTCATTTATGTTATCAAGGACCGCAAAGAACTTTTCCGGCTTGTCCTTCGTCATAAAAGTCTATCCTCCTGAAATGAGGTCCCGACCCATAGTAAGAACATGTATTATTTTGATTTAAGTAAAAGGGGTAGGGGGTGGGGGTGGGGGTGGGGGGGAGGGTTTGGTTCAGTTGGACTTTTTAATCATGTGACTTTATCATATTGTAGCCAGCTTGAACAAAACTATCCTCCATGTTTTGAAAAGGCAAAATCAGCCTGTTCACTGTCCAGGATGGACACTTATCCGTACCTGCTTCGGTATTACTCTGTCAAGGAATCCTGTAATGAAGGTAAGGTCCACGTCTTGTTGTTTGATTGGATCGTGACAAAAGTATACGTACTGACGAAAGTAGTTTATATTACAAACTGATGATTGAAGATGCTTATAATACGGGCTGTTGGAATAAGGACTAAAGCAAGCAATGGGTAGCCGGTAAACATGTTGTCGGCATTTTAATGGCCGAATAACTAAAACCAAGGCATTAAATTATCCCAAATAATAATGGTTGAACAAATCGCCAACAAATCTCGATTTAACCACCATGTAGGATTAGATAGTTATTTCACATGACTCTAGGAGTTACGCTAACGCTCACATTTTGCCCACATTCACAGAAACTGGACTGCGGTTAATGTAATGTATTTGATGACAGTTTGAACATAGTTCATCTGACACATGTTTTGTTATTTCAGTCTGTCCTATATTCAAGCCCCTGATAAACTGTGAAGAAAACCTAGCCTATATAGACTTAAGTACCAGCAAAAAATCATATTGTAGGTGAGTTTTATCTAAAGGCATTGTACTGAAAATTTCGATCACGTGTCGTCGTTACTATGGAAATCAATCTTAATCAAGTGTCTCCATACCTAAATTATTACAATGTTAAGCACGTGTCATCATTACTGTGGAAAGCAATGACATGCCATCGTTACTATGGAAACCAATCTTAAACAAATGTTTTTATACCCAATGGTAACAATATTGAGCACACATCATCGTTACTATGGAAACCAATCACATGTCATCTTAAACAAGTGTTTTTATACCCAATTGTTACAATGTTGAGTACACATCATGATTACATTAAGAACAACGTGTATGTTGTTGTATGTAACAAGTATTTTAATCACGTGTCTTTGTCACCATTCCTGGGTATCAGTGCGTTTTCGTAAAGAATTGTCAAAGACATTTTATAGATGTAATGACAAATGCAAATATTTGGAATTTTGCAGGTCATATATTGAAAGTATGGAGTGCCTTGATTCCATTCTTATTAACATGACGTGTTCGTTTGGGGAACAAACGAAAGCCAACATACTGGACACTGTTTACGATCAGGACGCGCGACAGTTTGGTGACGGAGTCTGCATGACAGGTAAGTACTATTCATTATCTACATGTAACCCTGTCGTATAGGTAGAATATGTTCAAACGATAATAGAAAACATTGAAAAACATATTGCGATATTTTTTTCTGAATGAAATATGTGTTATTTTCAAATACAAACAAACAAAAACAATAACAGAGGGCGTGTAAAACAAATACAAACAAACAAAAACAATACCGGAGGGCGTGAAAAACAAATACAAACAAACAAAAACAATACCGGAGGGCGTGAAAAACAAATAAAACAAACAAAAACAATAACAGAGGGCATGAAAAACAAATACAAACAAACAAAAACAATAACGGAGCGTGTGTAAAACAAATACAAACAAACAAAAGCAATAACAGAGGGCGTGAAAAACAAATACAAACAAAAACAAGAACAGAGGGCGTGTAAAACAAATACAAACAAACAAAAACAATAACAGAGGGCATGAAAAACAAATACAAACAAACAAAAACAATAACAGAGGGCGAGAAAAACAAATACAAACAAAACCAATACCGGAGGGCATGAAAAACAAATAAAACAAACAAAAACAATACCGGAGGGCATGAAAAACAAATAAAACAAACAAAAACAATACCGGAGGGCGTGTAAAACAAATACAAACAAACAAAAACAATAACAGAGGGCGTGTAAAACAAATACAAACAAACAAAAGCAATAACAGAGGGCGTGAAAAACAAATACAAACAAACAAAAACAATAACAGAGGGCGTGTAAAACAAATACAAACAAACAAAAACAATAACAGAGGGCGTGTAAAACAAATACAAACAAACAAAAACAATAACAGAGGGCGTGTAAAACAAATACAAACAAACAAAAACAATAACAGAGGGCGTGAAAAACAAATACAAACAAACAAAAACAATAACAGAGGGCGTGAAAAACAAATACAAACAAACAAAAACAATAACAGAGGGCGTGAAAAACAAATACAAACAAACAAAAACAAATACAAACAAAAACAAGAACAGAGGGCGTGAAAAACAAATACAAACAAACAAAAACAATAACGGAGGGCGTGTAAAACAAATACAAACAAACAAAAACAATAACAGAGGGCGTGTAAAACAAATACAAACAAACAAAAACAATAACAGAGGGCGTGTAAAACAAATAAAACAAACAAAAACAATAACAAAGGGCGTGAAAAACAAATACAAACAAACAAAAACAATAACAGAGGGCGTGAAAAACAAATACAAACAAACAAAAACAATAACAGAGGGCGTGTAAAACAAATACAAACAAACAAATAAAAAAACAATACAAGGGCGTGTTAAACAAATACAAACAGAACAGACTGAAAAACAAATACAAACAAACAAACAAAAACAAAATCAAACAAACAAAAAAACAAACAAAAACAAACAGAGGGCGTGTAAAACAAATACAAACAAACAAAAACAATAACAGAGGGCGTGAAACAAACAAACAAAACACAAACAAACAAAAACAATAACAAGGGCAAAGGGCGTGTAAAACAAATACAAACAAACAAAAAGAGGGCAAACAAACAAACAAAAACAATAGAGGGCGTGAAAAACAAATACAAACAAACAAAAACAATAACAGAGGGCGTGTAAAACAAAAACAAGACAAACAAACAAACAAACAAAAACAATAACAGAGGGCGTGAAAAACAAATACAAACAAACAAAAACAATAACAGAGGGCGTGAAAAACAAATACAAACAAACAAAAACAAACAGAGGGCGTGTAAAACAAATACAAACAAACAAAAAACAATAACAAAGGGCGTGAAAAACAAATACAAACAAACAAAAACAATAACAGAGGGCGTGAAAAACAAATACAAACAAACAAAAACAAGAACGGAGGGCGTGAAAAACAAATACAAACAAACAAAAAGAATACCGGAGGGCGTGAAAAACAAATACAAACAAACAAAAACACCCGACGGCGTGAAAAAAAAATACAAACAAACAAAAACAATAACAGAGGGGGCATGAAAAACAAATACAAACAAACAAACAAACAAAAACAATACAAGGGCAAAGTGAAAAACAAATACAAACAAACAAAAACAATTTACAGAGGGCGTGAAAAACAAATACAAACAAATACAAAAAACAAAAACAAACAAAACAAACAAAAACAATAACAGAGGGCGTGTAAAACAAATACAAACAAACAAAAACAAGAACACGTGAAAAACAAATACACAAACAAAAACAATTTATAGAATACAAACAAACAAAAACAAACAAACAAACAAACAAACAAACAAAAACAAGAACAGAGGGCGTGAAAAACAAATACAAACAAACAAAAACAAGAACAGAGGGCGTGAAAAACAAATACAAACAAACAAAAACAATAACAGAGGGCGTGTAAAACAAATACAAACAAACAAAAACAAGAACAGAGGGCGTGTAAAACAAATACAAACAAACAAAAACAAGAACAGAGGGCGTGAAAAACAAATACAAACAAACAAAAACAATAACAGAGGGCGTGAAAAACAAATACAAACAAACAAAAACAAGAACAGAGGGCGTGAAAAACAAATACAAACAAACAAAAACAAGAACAGAGGGCGTGAAAACAAATACAAACAAACAAAAACAAGAACAGAGGGCGTGAAAAACAAATACAAACAAACAAAAACAAGAACAGAGGGCGTGAAAAACAAATACAAACAAACAAAAACAATAACAGAGGGCGTGAAAAACAAATACAAACAAACAAAAACAATACCGGAGGGCGTGTAAAACAAATATAAACAAACAAAAAGAATACCGGAGGGCGTGAAAAACAAATACAAACAAACAAAAACAATACCGGAGGGCGTGAAAAACAAATACAAACAAACAAAAACAAGAACAGAGGGCGTGAAAAACAAATACAAACAAACAAAAACAATAACAGAGGGCGTGAAAAACAAATACAAACAAACAAAAACAAGAACAGAGGGCGTGTAAAACAAATATAAACAAACAAAAACAATACCGGAGGGCGTGAAAAACAAATACAAACAAACAAACAAAAAGAACGGAGGGCGTGAAAAACAAATACAAACAAACAAAAAGAATACCGGAGGGCGTGAAAAACAAATAAAACAAACAAAAACAAGAACAGAGGGCGTGTAAAACAAATATAAACAAACAAAAACAATACCGGAGGGCGTGAAAAACAAATACAAACAAACAAAAAGAATACCGGAGGGCGTGAAAAACAAATACAAACAAACAAAAACAATAACAGAGGGCGTGTAAAACAAATACAAACAAACAAAAACAAGAACAGAGGGCGTGTAAAACAAATACAAACAAACAAAAACAATAACAGAGGGCGTGTAAAACAAATACAAACAAGCAAAAACAAGAACAGAGGGCATGTAAAACAAATACAAACAAACAAAAACAAGAACAGAGGGCGTGTAAAACAAATACAAACAAACAAAAACAATACAAACAAACACACAAAAACAATAACAGAGGGCGTGAAAAACAAATACAAACAAACAAAAACAATAACAGAGGGCGTGTAAAACAAATACAAACAAGCAAAAACAAGAACAGAGGGCATGTAAAACAAATACAAACAAGCAAAAACAAGAACAGAGGGCATGAAAAACAAATACAAACAAACAAAAACAAGAACAGAGGGCGTGAAAAACAAATACAAACAAACAAAAACAATACCGGAGGGCATGAAAAACAAATACAAACAAACAAAAACAAGAACAGAGGGCGTGAAAAACAAATACAAACAAACAAAAACAAGAACAGAGGGCGTGTAAAACAAATACAAACAAACAAAAACAATACCGGAGGGCATGAAAAACAAATACAAACAAACAAAAACAATAACAGAGGGCGTGTAAAACAAATACAAACAAACAAAAACAATAACAGAGGGCGTGAAAAACAAATAAACAAACAAAAGCAATAACAGAGGGCGTGTAAAACAAATACAAACAAACAAAAACAATAACAAAGGGCGTGTAAAACAAATACAAACAAGCAAAAACAAGAACAGAGGGCGTGTAAAACAAATACAAACAAACAAAAACAATAACAAAGGGCATGAAAAACAAATACAAACAAACAAAAACAAGAACAGAGGGCGTGAAAAACAAATACAAACAAACAAAAACAATAACAGAGGGCGTGTAAAACAAATACAAACAAACAAAAACAATACCGGAGGGCGTGAAAAACAAATACAAACAAACAAAAACCATAACAGAGGGCGTGTAAAACAAATACAAACAAACAAAAACAAGAACAGAGGGCGTGAAAAACAAATATAAACAAACAAAAAGAATACCGGAGGGCGTGAAAAACAAATACAAACAAACAAAAACAAGAACAGAGGGCGTGAAAAACAAATACAAACAAACAAAAACAATAACAGAGGGCGTGAAAAACAAATACAAACAAACAAAAACAATACCGGAGGGCGTGAAAAACAAATACAAACAAACAAAAACAATAACAGAGGGCGTGTAAAACAAATACACACAAAAACAATAACAGAGGGCGTGTAAAACAAATACACACAAAAACAATAACAATACCGGAGGGCGTGAAAAACAAATACAAACAAACAAAAACAAGAACAGAGGGCGTGTAAAACAAATACAAACAAACAAAAACAATACTGGAGGGCGTGTAAAACAAATACAAACAAACAAAAACAAGAACAGAGGGCGTGTAAAACAAATACAAACAAACAAACCCTACCCGAGGGCGTGAACAACAACTACAAACAAACAAAAACAATAACAGAGGGCGTGTAAAACAAATACAAACAAACAAAAACAATAACAGAGGGCGTGAAAAACAAATACAAACAAACAAAAACAAGAACAGAGGGCGTGTAAAACAAATACAAACAAACAAAAACAATAACAGAGGGCGTGAAAAACAAATACAAACAAACAAAAAGAATACCGGAGGGCGTGAAAAACAAATACAAACAAACAAAAACAATAACAGAGGGCGTGTAAAACAAATACAAACAAACAAAAACAAGAACAGAGGGCGTGTAAAACAAATACAAACAAACAAAAACAATAACAGAGGGCGTGTAAAACAAATACAAACAAACAAAAACAATAACAGAGGGCGTGAAAAACAAATACAAACAAACAAAAACAAGAACAGAGGGCGTGTAAAACAAATACAAACAAACAAAAACAATAACAGAGGGCATGAAAAACAAATACAAACAAACAAAAACAAGAACAGAGGGCGTGTAAAACAAATACAAACAAACAAAAACAAGAACAGAGGGCGTGAAAAACAAATACAAACAAACAAAAACAATACTGGAGGGCGTGTAAAACAAATACAAACAAACAAAAACAAGAACAGAGGGCGTGTAAAACAAATACAAACAAACAAAAACAATAACAGAGGGCGTGTAAAACAAATACAAACAAACAAAAACAATAACAGAGGGCGTGAAAAACAAATACAAACAAACAAAAACAAGAACAGAGGGCGTGAAAAACAAATACAAACAAACAAAAACAAGAACAGAGGGCGTGTAAAACAAATACAAACAAACAAAAACAATAACAGAGGGCGTGAAAAACAAATACAAACAAACAAAAAGAATACCGGAGGGCGTGAAAAACAAATACAAACAAACAAAAACAAGAACAGAGGGCGTGAAAAACAAATACAAACAAACAAAAACAAGAACAGAGGGCGTGTAAAACAAATACAAACAAACAAAAACAAGAACAGAGGGCGTGAAAAACAAATACAAACAAACAAAAAGAATACCGGAGGGCGTGAAAAACAAATACAAACAAACAAAAACAATACCGGAGGGCGTGTAAAACAAATACAAACAAACAAAAACAATAACAGAGGGCGTGAAAAACAAATACAAACAAACAAAAACAATAACAGAGGGCGTGTAAAACAAATACACACAAAAACAATAACAGAGGGCGTGTAAAACAAATACAAACAAACAAAAACAAGAACAGAGGGCGTGTAAAACAAATACAAACAAAAACAAGAACAGAGGGCATGAAAAACAAATACAAACAAACAAAAACAAGAACAGAGGGCATGAAAAACAAATACAAACAAAAACAAGAACAGAGGGCGTGAAAAACAAATACAAACAAACAAAAACAATACCGGAGGGCATGAAAAACAAATACAAACAAACAAAAACAAGAACAGAGGGCGTGAAAAACAAATACAAACAAACAAAAACAAGAACAGAGGGCGTGTAAAACAAATAAACAAACAAAAGCAATAACAGAGGGCGTGTAAAACAAATACAAACAAACAAAAACAATACCGGAGGATATGAAAAACAAATACAGACAAACAAAAACAATAAAAGAGGGCGTGTAAAACAAATACAAACAAACAAAAACAATAACAGAGGGCATGAAAATAAGTTCTTTAACACGTTTTGTCAATTCCATATGATGCCAGATCGTCAATCTGGTGGATGTATCACATAATTTCTATAAAACCCACCTATAAACGTATTTGTTTCTGTGTTACCAACACAATGACAGACAAACGTATTTGTATCTGTGTTAACAAAACAATGACAGACAAACGTATTTGTTTCTGTGTTACCAACACAATGACAGACAAACGTATTTGTATCTGTGTTAACAAAACAATGACAGACAAACGTATTTGTATCTGTGTTAACAATGAAAGACTAATGGATTTGTATCTGTGTTACCAATGACAGACAAACGTATTTGTATCTGTGTTACCAATGAGAGACAAACGTATTTGTATCTGTGTTACCAATAACAGATAAACTTATTTGTATCAGTGGTACCAACACAATGACAGACAAACGTATTTATATCTGTGTTAACAATGACAGACAAACGTATTTGTATATGTGTTACCAACACAATGACAGACAAACGTATTTGTATCTGTGTTACCAACACAATGACAGACAAATGTATTTGTATCTGTGTTACCAATGACAGACAAACGTATTTGTATCTGTCTTACCAATGAGAGACAAACGTATTTGTATCTGTGTTACCAATAACAGATAAACTTATTTGTATCAGTGGTACCAACACAATGACAGACAAACGTATTTATATCTGTGTTACCAATGATATACAAACGTATTTGTATCTGTGTTACCAACACAATGACAGACAAACGTATTTGTATATGTGTTACCAACACAATGACAGAATAACGTATTTGTATCTGTGTTACCAACACAATGACAGACAAATGTATTTGTATCTGTGTTACCAATGATAAACAAATGTATTTGTATCTGTGTTACCTACACAATGACAGACAAACGTATTTGTATATGTGTTACCAACACAATGACAGAATAACATATTTGTATCTGTGTTACCAACACAATGACAGAATAACGTATTTGTATCTGTGTTAACAAAACAATGACAGACAAACGTATTTGTATCTGTGTTAACAATGACAGACAAACGTATTTGTATCTGTGTTACCAATGAGAGACAAACGTATTTGTATCTGTGTTACCAATAACAGATAAACTTATTTGAATCAGTGGTACCAACACAATGACAGACAAACGTATTTATATCTGTGTTAACAATGACAGACAAACGTATTTGTATATGTGTTACCAACACAATGACAGACAAACGTATTTGTATCTGTGTTACCAACACAATGACAGACAAATGTATTTGTATCTGTGTTACCAATGACAGACAAACGTATTTGTATCTGTGTTACCAATGACAGACAAACGTATTTATATCTGTGTTAACAATGACAAACAAACGTATTTGTATCTGTGTTAAAAATGAAAGACAAACGTATTTGTATCTGTGTTACCAATGATATACAAACGTATTTGTATCTGTGTTACCAACACAATGACAGACAAACGTATTTGTATATGTGTTACCAACACAATGACAGAATAACATATTTGTATCTGTGTTACCAACACAATGACAGAATAACGTATTTGTATCTGTGTTACCAACACAATGACAGACAAATGTATTTGTATCTGTGTTACCAATGATAAACAAATGTATTTGTATCTGTGTTACCAACACAATGACAGACAGACGTATTTGTATATGTGTGTCCAATGACAGACAAACGCATTTGTATCTTTGTTACCAACACAATGACAGACAAATGTATTTGTATCTATGTTACCAATGACAGACAAACGTATTTTTATCTGTGTTACTAACACAATGACAGACAAACGTATATGTATCTGTGTTACCAATGACAGACAAACGTATTTGTATCTGTGTTACCAATGACAGACAAACGTATTTGTATCTGTGTTATTAACACAATGACAGACAAACGTATTTTTATCTGTGTTACCAATGAGAGACAAACGTATTTGTATCTGTGTTACCAATGACAGACAAACGTATTTGTATCAGTGGTACCAACACAATGACAGACAAACGTATTTATATCTGTGTTAACAATGACAGACAAACGTATTTGTATCTGTGTTAACAATGAAAGACAAACGTAATTGTATCTGTGTTACCAATGACAGACAAACGTATTTGTATATGTGTTACCAACACAATGACAGAATAACGTATTTGTATCGGTGTTACCAATGACATACTAACGTATTTGTATCTGTGTTACCAATGACAGACAAACGTATTTGTATCTGTGTTACCAATGACAGACAAACGTATTTGTATCTATGTTACCAATGACAGACAAACGTATTTGTATATGTGTTACCAACACAATGACAGAATAACGTATTTGTATCTGTGTTACCAACACAATGACAGAATAACGTATTTGTATCTGTGTTACCAATGATAAACAAACGTATTTGTATCTGTGTTACCAACACAATGACAGACAAACGTATTTGTATCTGTGTTACCAATGACAGACAAACGTATCTGTGTTACCAATGACAGACAAACGTATTTGTATCTGTATTACCAATGACAGACAAACGTATTTGTATCTATGTTACCAATGACAGACAAACGTATTTGTATCTGTATTACCAATGAGAGACAAACGTATTTGTATCTGTGTTACCAATGACAGACAAAGGTATTTGTATCTGTGGTACCAACACAATGACATACAAACGTATTTGTATCTGTGTTACCAACACAATGACAGACAAACGTATTTGTATCTGTGTTACCAACACAATGACAGACAAACGTATTTGTATCTATGTTACCAATGACAGACAAACGTATCTGTATCTATGTTACCAATGAGAGACAAACGTATCTGTATCTGTGTTACCAGTGACAAACATATCTGTATCTGTGTTACCAATGGCAGACAAACATATCTGTATCTGTGTTACCAATGACAGACAATCGTATCTGTATCTGTGTTACCAATGACAGACAAATGTATCTGTATCTGTGTTACCAGTGACAGACAAACGTATCTGTATCTGTGTTACCAGTGACAGACAAACGTATCTGTATCTGTGTTACCAATGACAGACAAACGTATCTGTATCTGTGTTACCAGTGACAGACAAACGTATCTGTATCTGTGTTACCAGTGACAGACAAACGTATCTGTATCTGTGTTACCAATGACAGACAAACGTATCTGTATCTGTGTTACCAATGACAGACAAACGTATCTGTATCTGTGTTACCAGTGACAGACACATATGTATCCAGGAATGATAGTTTAAATATTATAATTGATTTGTTTTCTCTATTTAGCGAGAGATTGTACCGACGTAGATGACGCAGTGAGAGAAGTGAATTACTGTTTACTGGAGTGGAACAAGACACGGGATTATTCAGAGAGGTAGTTCACCACTGAAATTCGTTAGGATCAAATACATTATGTAAATGTAGCTGGACTTTATTGCCCATCATTTTTTTTCTACTTTCACTTGGTTTCTCTTAAAAGTTCGATGAAAACAAAATGGCTACAATCTTGAATTTTGGAAATGAAGCTTTGTTTTCCTATTTCTTGACAAGAACTGGATTAATCTTTCCCAGATATCATACCTATAGGTTCCCCTTAGTGCTCTGTTCACTTTGATTTTGGGACTGGTCAGAAAAACAAAATGGCTGACAAGCGATCGACTTGACAATGAAAATGAATATCTACCATACATGTATTTGTCAAAGTTTTGAAAAGTGCTCTCAGAGAAAAATGTTTACTAGGCTATGTTGACCTTGATATTTTGACCTCAACTTCTGTTATAGTCCACACAAAATCTGAAGTTTAAAAAAAAAATTGTATGCCACTGACGTTAAAGTCTCTTCCTGTAAAAAGGAGGGTTATTACTGATTGACTTTAAATGATAACCTTGTCTGCCTACGTGATGAAGATACCTGTTTACTACAATGGTCGTAATCCAATCAAATCTTTTCCAGTGGGACGGATACATTGAAAGCATGTGTCTCAAAAATAAGCACCTGTTCGGATGCACTGAAAATGGTTCCGTATTATGAAAACAGTCTGGTTGGAATCGACGTAACAGCTGCCATATCAACTGAAACAGGTGAAACGACCACGGTAGCAACAACAGACATAATGACGTCATCAGTGGGGTCACCAGCACCTTCCACAAGTGAGTGAAGAAAAGAACGAATCGATTTGAGCATGGCTTCAAAGTGAGATAGCTTGTCACGATAGCACGCGAAAGAACAAGCTGTGTGATTGGTTTAATTGGATGTGATTTAGATGTCACATTTAGTGAGACCTTTGCCAAATGGTCGCTGCTTCATGGCTGCATTATTGCTGCACTATAAGTTTTGTTTTTGTTTTTTGTATTCCTTCTTTCTTTTTACTTTATTGGTTTTGTTTTGCATCCTGTCGTCCCACCTAAAATGTTTAAATGTAATCATCTACATGACACGTCCCGACTGTCCCTTAATCACGTGATGTTACGAATGTCCCATGATCACATGACTTCCCGACTGTCCCTTTATCACGTGATGTCACGGATGTCCCATGATCACATGACTTCCCGACTGTCCCTTTATCACGTGATGTCACGAATGTCCCATGATCACATGACTTCCCGACTGTCCCATGAGCATGATTATTTAGAAAGGGATTCAGTTTCAGAATCGAAGAAGTTACATTCATATAGATACATCTATGAAGTACCCCGGAATAATAGGAATAAGGATGCTCAGTGTTTATAATGAATGTTCACGTATTGTCAATGTTCAGTGTTGTAATGAATGTTCACGTATTGTCAATGTTCAGTGTTGTGATTAATGTTCACGTATTGTCAATGTTCAGTGTTGTAATGAATGTTCACGTATTGTCAATGTTCAGTGTTGTGATTAATGTTCACGTATTGTCAATGTTCAGTGTTGTGATGAATGTTCACGTATTGTCAATGTTCAGTGTTGTGATGAATGTTCACGTATTGTCAATGTTCAGTGTTGTAATGAATGTTCACGTATTGTCAATGTTCAGTGTTGTAATGAATGTTCACGTATTGTCAATGTTCAGTGTTGTGATTAATGTTCACGTATTGTCAATGTTCAGTGTTGTGATTAATGTTCACGTATTGTCAATGTTCAGTGTTGTGATGAATGTTCACGTATTGTCAATGTTCAGTGTTGTAATGAATGTTAACGTATTGTCAATGTTCAGTGTTGTGATTAATGTTAACGTATTGTCAATGTTCAGTGTTGTGATTAATGTTCACGTATTGTCAATGTTCAGTGTTGTGATTAATGTTCACGTATTGTCAATGTTCAGTGTTGTGATGAATGTTCACGTATTGTCAATGTTCAGTGTTGTGATTAATGTTCACGTATTGTCAATGTTCAGTGTTGTAAGGAATGTTCAGTGTTGTCAATGTTCAGTGTTGTGATGTATATGTCCGTGTGTTGTCAAGGTTCAGTGATGTAATGAATGTACATGTGTTTTCAATGTTGAGATGAATGTTAACATGTTGTCAAGGTACAGTGTTGTAATGAATGTTCACGTGTTGTCAAGGTTCACCGATGTAACGAGTGTTCAGTGTTGTAAGGAATGTCCACGTGTGTACCATGTACTTGAACCTGACCTCCTACAACTGGTTACCACATACTTAACCTAACCTCCTACAAGTGGTTACCACAGACTTAACCTAACCTCCTACAAGTGGTTACCACATACTTAACCTAACCTCCTACAAGTGGTTACCACAGACTCAACCTAACCTCCTACAAGTGGTTACCACAGACTTAACCTAACCTCCTACAAGTGGTTACCACAGACTTAACCTAACCTCCTACAAGTGGTTACCACAGACTTAACCTAACCTCCTACAAGTGGTTACCACATACTTAACCTAACCTCCTACAAGTGGTTACCACAGACTTAACCTAACCTCCTACAAGTGGTTACCACAGACTTAACCTAACCTCCTACAAGTGGTTACCACATACTTAACCTAACCTCCTACAAGTGGTTACCACATACTTAACCTAACCTCCTACAAGTGGTTACCACAGACTCAACCTAACCTCCTACAACTGGTTACCACTTACTTAACCTAACCTCCTACAAGTGGTTACCACAGACTTAACCTAACCTCCTACAAGTGGTTACCACATACTTAACCTAACCTCCTACAAGTGGTTACCACATACTTAACCTAACCTCCTACAAGTGGTTACCACATACTTAACCTAACCTCCTACAAGTGGTTACCACAGACTTAACCTAACCTCCTACAAGTGGTTACCACAGACTCAACCTAACCTCCTACAAGTGGTTACCACAGACTTAAACTGACATCCTACAAGTGGTTACCACAGACTTAACCTAACCTCCTACAAGTGGTTACCACAGACTTAACCTAACCTTCTACAAGTGGTTACCACAGACTTAACCTAACCTCCTACAAGTGGTTACCACAGACTCAACCTAACCTCCTACAAGTGGTTACCACAGACTTAACCTAACCTCCTACAAGTGGTTACCACAGACTCAACCTAACCTCCTACAAGTGGTTACCACAGACTCAACCTAACCTTCTACAACTGGTTACCACAGACTTAACCTAACCTTCTACAAGTGGTTACCACAGACTTTACCTGACCTCCTACAAGTGGTTACCACAGACTTAACCTAACCTTCTACAAGTGGTTACCACAGACTTAACCTAACCTCCTACAAGTGGTTACCACATACTTAACCTAATCTCCTACAAGTGGTTACCACATACTTAACCTAACCTCCTACAAGTGGTTACCACAGACTCAACCTAACCTCCTACAACTGGTTACCACTTACTTAACCTAACCTCCTACAAGTGGTTACCACAGACTTAACCTAACCTCCTACAAGTGGTTACCACATACTTAACCTAACCTCCTACAAGTGGTTACCACATACTTAACCTAACCTCCTACAAGTGGTTACCACATACTTAACCTAACCTCCTACAAGTGGTTACCACAGACTTAACCTAACCTCCTACAAGTGGTTACCACAGACTCAACCTAACCTCCTACAAGTGGTTACCACAGACTTAAACTGACATCCTACAAGTGGTTACCACAGACTTAACCTAACCTCCTACAAGTGGTTACCACAGACTTAACCTAACCTTCTACAAGTGGTTACCACAGACTTAACCTAACCTCCTACAAGTGGTTACCACAGACTCAACCTAACCTCCTACAAGTGGTTACCACAGACTTAACCTAACCTCCTACAAGTGGTTACCACAGACTCAACCTAACCTCCTACAAGTGGTTACCACAGACTCAACCTAACCTTCTACAACTGGTTACCACAGACTTAACCTAACCTTCTACAAGTGGTTACCACAGACTTTACCTGACCTCCTACAAGTGGTTACCACAGACTTAACCTAACCTTCTACAAGTGGTTACCACAGACTTAACCTAACCTCCTACAAGTGGTTACCACAGACTTAACCTAACCTCCTACAAGTGGTTACCACAGACTCAACCTAACCTCCTACAAGTGGTTACCACAGACTTAACCTAACCTCCTACAAGTGGTTACCACAGACTCAACCTAACCTCCTACAAGTAGTTACCACAGACTCAACCTAACCTTCTACAACTGGTTACCACAGACTTAACCTAACCTTCTACAAGTGGTTACCACAGACTTTACCTGACCTCCTACAAGTGGTTACCACAGACTTAACCTAACCTTCTACAAGTGGTTACCACAGACTTAACCTAACCTCCTACAAGTGGTTACCACAGACTTAACCTAACCTCCTACAAGTGGTTACCACAGACTCAACCTAACCTCCTACAAGTGGTTACCACAGACTCAACCTAACCTCCTACAAGTGGTTACTACAGACTTAAACTGACATCCTACAAGTGGTTACCACAGACTTAACCTAACCTTCTACAAGTGGTTACAACATGCTTAACCTGACTTTCCATGTCTATAACACTTATTTGATCTTAATCTGCATGCAGGTAGGATTAGATAGACCAGTAGTTGCATGTATCATGAGGCCAGTGGTTTATGTAAAGCATGCCATTTAACATAATTTATTTTTCACATCTCCACCGTCACTGTGATAAACACTGTAATACCGTCACTGCCATGTTACGTTTCCAGTCGACACTTCCGTCAGAACATTGAATACAATTCATACGGGTGTTGTGGATGTTACGACTGAATTATACAAACAACCACTCAACCCGACGGATATAACAGAAGACACCTCTGCCCTACCAACAACTGACCTGGTTACGAAACCTTTCAAAAGATCGAGCTTCTCCACCAGAGGGCGTCTCGACTCGGTGGATATAACAGAAGACACCTCTGCCCTACCAACAACTGACCGGGTTACGAAACCTTTCAAAAGATCGAGCTTCTCCACCAGAGGGCGTCTCGACTCGGTGGATATAACAGAAGACACCTCTGCCCTACCAACAACTGACCGGGTTACGAAACCTTTCAAAAGATCGAGCGTCTCCACCAGAGGGCGTGGTCTTACTCTGTTTACATCTCAAAATCAAAACGTCGTCACAAGGAAAATGTCGACTGGAACAAAACTCCATGTTTCTACAACTGCATTCATCCCCGACGATTCTACAACATCTAATCGCAAGTCTGTCACCCTCGTTCTTACTAAATCGTCAGCTAGTAGTGACACCGACGGTGGTCTTACTGAAGAAACAGAAATTCACAAAGTCACGCCACAAAAGGAAATATCAAGTGTTCTGTCACCAAGGCGACCAATCAGTACAGAGGACGTAACAACACGGGATGAAGTCTTCACCACTCCGCTCCTCGCGACAGACGCAGGTGTTTTAACCGAGACGACAACGTTACCACTATCCACTGAACATTTGTTTTCCCAAACCAAGACTGACCAGTCAAATGTGTCTATCATGACTGGGTTAGCAGACAGACGGTCAACCCGGAATATATTGCCACATGCAGGGACATGGCCGCAGGTGGAGGGGGATGAGGACGGTGCCATTATAGGACCGGGGGATGAGAACGGTGCCATTATAGGACCGTGGGATGAGGACGGTGCCCTTGTAGGACCGGGGGATGAGGACGGTGCCGTTATAGGACCAGGTGATTCACTACTTAAACTTGAATGCATGTCATTGTATCATTGTATGAAACACATTTTAGTCTTACACCTCCATCCGGTGTTAACATTTCCACAGACTCTCTATTAAAACCCCGCTGACGTTTGATAATGACGTCATCTAACCTCACTTCGTCAATGCATGAATGGAACTTGACGTCATACCCAAAGATTAGCAAAATGGTTTACAAGAAAGACAGCGGATTCCAAAATGTATATTTAAGTTACGGAGAAAATCAAATTTAACCTGGAATGGAAATAACTTTTTAGTAAGAATATATCTTATTTTGTTAATGAAACTGTAAATCTCTTAATGTTTCTGAAACTGCAGTCCAGTGTGAATGTTGAGCTGTAGGTTATAACAACACGCCTTGAATTGCTGACATGATGCCGTGATATTGTATAATTTTAGGACCGCGATAACTGATAAACGAAGGATGTTAAAATTAATATTCACAATTTGTGGGTTGATATCATTGTTTTTGCACTAGAAATGACCAAAGAGACCACCACCTTTTCTGTAAAAATGTCGTCAGCCAAAATCCCCAGTGGAAGGGAGACAACTCGTACGCAATACTCATCGGGAGGAAATCGTGTTGAAACACCATTACCGACACGCCCATCATCCAAAAAAGATCCAATGACAGAAATATCGCCGACAGAGATCGCCGATCAAACCAAGACATCGTCGCCACCTGAACAAGAGGATAAATCAACAGCACGGTCTACTCTAAACACGGCCGAACCCTTCAGTGTCGACACAAACGGTAAGACATGAAATACAACAGCATCATTTTAGTGTAATCCACCTTTTGCTTTGTCTCATTCAGACAATACACCGACACAGTTTTTTTGGGGGTTTTCTTTTCATTTTACATATGATGGGTGCGATGATATTTTTTGTTTGTTTGTTTTTTTATATATATATTCCAGCTTACTCTCGCTCACGATATATATAGTTGATACGCTCGGATAAGACCGCTATCAGAGTGAACAGTAAAATTTGCGGTTTAAGACAAAGGCTACAAGTAGGATGGACGACCAGACTTTACCTGGAATCAGTAGATTTATATTGGCATGGTTTTGTTTGTGACCGATTGTTGTACCCCGTTAACATTGTTGTTTACTCCTAATTCCCTAAGATGTTTGTAATAGCCATTTCTTAACTATTTTCCCCAAATTATTTGATTATCTGAATGGTTCATTGACTGATTAGGTCATCATTGATATTGTGTTAAAAGCGTTTTTTCCCGTCAATCAATCATGATATGTATACAGTATATGCCTGTATGTGTAGTGAATCTAGCATTATGTCACGATAAAAACGACTTTTAGCGAGTCTTACTTCCTCACTAATCTTACACCTGCTTCTAGTGGCATTCATATGGTGTTATGCTGGCGTCCAAGTTTAACTGGACACGAAGTTACAAATCTGGGCGATATCAATGACTTTGAATTTTGGTAAAAAGTGACTAAAAGGTACAACTCTCCAACCCTCCAACCCATCATGACCTCTGATGACAAATTTTCTCCATGCAGCGCTACAACATCTAGTGACTGTTTTATCTGTGTTATTATTGTAGGTGGCGTTACAAAACTCCGGGCCGGTGCGACATCTAGTGACTGTTTTATCTGTGTTATTATTGTAGGTGGCGTTATAAAACTCCGGGCCGGTGCGACATCTAGTGACTGTTTTATCTGTGTTATTATTGTAGGTGGCGTTACAAAACTCCGGGCCGGTGCGACATCTAGTGACTGTTTTATCTGTGTTATTATTGTAGGTGGCGTTACAAAACTCCGGGCCGATGCGACATCTAGTGACTGTTTTATCTGTGTTATTATTGTAGGTGGCGTTATAAAACTCCGGGCCGGTGCGACATCTAGTGACTGTTTTATCTGTGTTATTATTGTAGGTGGCGTTATAAAACTCCAGGCCGGTGCGACATCTAGTGACTGTTTTATCTGTGTTATTATTGTAGGTGGCGTTATAAAACTCCGGGCCGGTGCGAGATCAACGTGGATTATGATGACTGTGTTATTCTACTGCATAACGTGAGCGTGTCTTGTGAACGTTCCGGGTGCGAGGAATTTAAAGAATGAACTTTTACTCTGTGTTAAATGCTGATTGGTTGAATCATGGATGAACGGATATTTATGAATGAATGGTTGTAAAATATGGTGATACATAGCAATATATTTATATAAGTATATTACCAGGAAAAGTTGATGTATAATTCTATTACTGTGATGTTTATTACATTGTATATAACTGATGACGTCAGTCATGTCACTGGAAAAATATGATGGATAACCGGAAGTGTTTATCTCACTTCCGGTAATGTTGATTGTACTACTTTTGACAATTATTATATTACTAGTGATTAATTAACGCTTATGTAATTTTTTATCTTTGGTTATGTTAATAATTTTTATGATCCTATTTTTATAAAACAAAGTTTCCGAGTGTTTTTTATACTGAAAGATGAAATAAGCGAACCAGGTGACGAGAAACACATAGTTTATCAGAGTTGGCTTGTGTGAACTAGCTGTGGCTACATGTAGTGTATCTAACCGGAAGTGAACTAGCTGTGGCTACATGTAGTGTATCTAACCGGAAAAGGACTAGTTGTGGCTACATGTAGTGTATCTAACCGGAAGTGAACTAGCTGTGGCTACATGTAGTGTATCTAACCGGAAGTGGACTATCTGTGGCTACATGTAGTGTATCTAACCGGAAGTGGACTAGCTGTGGCTACATGTAGTGTATCTAACCTCAAGTGGAATAGTTGTGGCTACGTGTAGTGTATCTAACCGGAAGTGGACTAGCTGTGGCTACATGTAGTGTTTCTAAACGGATGTGGACTAGCTATGGCTACATGTAGTGTATCTAACCTCAAGTGGAATAGTTGTGGCTACATGTAGTGTTTCTAACCGGAAGTGGACTAGCTGTGGCTACATGTAGTGTATCTAACCGGATGTGGACTAGCTGTGGCTAAATGTAGTGTATCTAACCGGAAGTGGACTAGCTGTGGCTACATGTAGTGTATCTAACCGGATGTGGACTAGCTGTGGCTAAATGTAGTGTATCTAAGCGAAAGTGGACTAGTTGTGTCTACATGTGTTTTACTGAAAGTGCAGTAACTGCTACTACCATACCAAGGATCTGGAGGTTAATGGCCTCAATAGGGATATTTATAAGATGATAACACCTCAGTCAGAGATGACATATTTAGTCTGGAGTATTTATATCGGGTGTTTTTGTCTATATTTTAATGTATCCCCATCTGTTCGCAGTCCAGAATATCGAGTGAGATGTGTTCTCATCCAATCATGTCATACATGTTTTCACCTGTAACCTGGATGATCACGTGTCATTACAAGTTCTAAATAGCTATACTATCCTCCTCGGTACTCCAGGAGTCCTGTTCACTCCATCTGTAGAGAGTATAGAGTATCGATGATGTGTTATATAACAGGAATAAAGAGACAATTAGGAACTATATATATTTATTGATGAAATTAGGTAGGTCATTTGCATAAGTGTACCTAAATCCCAATAGGTCTTTTACATTAAATTCATGATTTTTGGATGTTGCAACCTTATATAACACTTTGCCAAACGTTGGGAATTTCCGACAAACGGGACGTAAATATACTGGTGTTAATACTGTTGTGCTTAATACTTCATCACCAAATCAAATCCAGTCGATAAGAAATGTATTTTGTCTTAAACAAATGAGTAAAATACTATCATAAGATAAACCTATCAATGTTGTTGTATAAATATTTCATTCTTCCCCTGATCAAGGAGCATACCTTCCCTGACCTAGGGGGCATACCTTCCCTCACCTAGGGGGCATTCCTTCCCTAACCTAGGGAGCATCATTTCCCTGACCTAGGGGGCATACCTTCCCTCACCTAGGGGGCATTCCTTCCCTGACCTAGGGAGCATAATTTCCCTGGCCGAGGGGCATACCTTCCCTGACCTAGGGGCATAATTTCCCTGGCCGAGGCACATACCTTCCCTGATTTAGGGGGCATAATTTCCCTGATCAAGGAGCATACCTTCCCTGACCTAGGGGGCATAATTTCCCTGGCCGAGGCACATACCTTCCCTGATTTAGGGGACATAATTTCCCTGACCTAGTGGGCATACTTCCTAGACCTAGGGGGCGTACTTCCCTGGCCTAGGGGGCATAATTTCTTGACCGAGGGGGCATACTTCCCTGACCGAGGGGGCATACTTCCCTGACCTAGGGGGCATACCTTTCCTGACCTATGGTGCATACTTTCCTTGCCTAGGGGGGCATAATTCCTTGACCGAGAGGGTATACCTTCCCTGACATAGGGGCATTCTTCCCTTGCCTTGAGGGCATACTTTCATGACCGAGGGGGAACACTTCCCTGATCTAGGGGGCATACTTCCCTAACCGGGGGGACATACCTGCCCTGACCGAGGGGGCATACTTCCCTGACCTAGGGGACATACTTTCCTGACCGAGGGGGCATACTTCCCCGACCGAGGGGACATACCTGCACTGACCGAGGGGGCATACTTCCCCGACCGAGGGGACATACCTGCCCTGACCGAGGGGGCATACTTCCCTGACCGTGTCTGTAGATCTTTACACAAGGTAGAAAATGTCCCAACAAATTTAACTGTGTTCTAGTGTGGCCTTAGTATGGAAGTATTTCTTCAGGAGAATTCCAAACCTTAGTATTAATGACGTATCAGTGCTCAAATTTTAAACCTAGAATTCCATATAAATGTTTTTATTTATGATGACGTGTGTGATGTAGATATTTTGTTTTACCATGCTATCAACATTAATTGATGATTGGAAACTGTGTATGTGTGTGTTGTATCACGTGACATGATATAAAGAAATACATAAATGAAGTTAAGTGTCTCTTTTTATTCAGGTTATTTTTACATAGTTACGCGACGTGCTTTCAACATTACGATTTCGGGTTGTTCGTTGTCTGATGTAGGACCCTCCCATCTAGTATACATAATATGCTTACCCGTTCGTAAATTGTCTGATGTAGGGCCCCCCTCCCCTCTAGTATACCTAATATCCTTACTCGTTCGTAAATTGTCTGATGTAGGGCCCCCCTCCCCTCTAGTATACGTAATATCCTTACCCGTTCGTAAATTGTCTGATGTAGGGCCCCTCTAGTATACGTAATCTCCTTACCCGTTTGTAAATTGTCTGATGTAGGGCCACTCTCCTCTAGTATACATAATATCCTTACCCGTTCGTAAATTGTCTGATGTAGGGCCCCTCTAGTATACATAATATCCTTACCCGTTCGTAAATTGTCTGATGTAGGGCCCCTCTAGTATACGTAATATCCTTACCCGTTCGTAAATTGTCTGATGTAGGGCCACTCTCCTCTAGTATACATAATATCCTTACCCGTTCGTAAATTGTCTGATGTAGGCCACTCTCCTCTAGTATACATAATATCCTTACCCGTTCGTAAATTGTCTGATGTAGGCCACTCTCATCTAGTTTACATAATATCCTTACCCGTTCGTAAATTGTCTGATGTAGGCCACTCTCCTCTAGTATACATAATATCCTTACCCGTTCGTAAATTGTCTGATGTAGGGCCACTCTCCTCTAGTATACATAATATCCTTACCCGTTCGTAAATTGTCTGATGTAGGCCACTCTCATCTAGTTTACATAATATCCTTACCCGTTCGTAAATTGTCTGATGTAGGGCCACTCTCCTCTAGTATACATAATATCCGTACCCGTTCGTAAATTGTCTGATGTAAGGCGCCCTCTAGTATACATAATATCCTTACCCGTTCGTAAATTGTCTGATGTAGGGCCACTCTCCTCTAGTATACATAATATCCTTACCCGTTCGTAAATTGTCTGATGTAGGGCCACTCTCCTCTAGTATACATAATATCCGTACCCGTTCGTAAATTGTCTGATGTAGGGCCCCTCTAGTATACGTAATATCCTTACCCGTTCGTAAATTGTCTGATGTAGCGCGCCCTCTAGTATACGTAATATCCTTACCCGTTCGTAAATTGTCTGATGTAGGGCCCCTCTAGTATACGTAATATCCTTACCCGTTCGTAAATTGTCTGATGTAGGGCCCCTCTAGTATACGTAATATCCTTACCCGTTCGTAAATTGTCTGATGTAGGGCCCCTCTAGTATACGTAATATCCTTGCCCGTTCGTAAATTGTCTGATGTAGGGCCTCCCTCCCCTCTAGTTTACTTACCCGGTCGTAAATTGTCTGATGTATCTCCTCTAGTATACATAATATCCTTACCCGTTCGTAAATTGTCTGATGTAGGGCCCCTCTAGTATACGTAATATCCTTACCCGTTCGTAAATTGTCTGATGTAGGGCCCCCTCCTCTCTATTTTACATAATATCCTTACCCGTTCGTAAATTGTCTGATGTAGGGCCACTCTCCTCTAGTATACATAATATCCTTACCCGTTCGTAAATTGTCTGATGTAGGGCCCCCTCCTCTCTATTTTACATAATATCCTTACCCGTTCGTAAATTGTCTGATGTAGGGCCCCCTCCTCTCTAGTTTACATAATATCCTTACCCGTTCGTAAATTGTCTGATGTAGGGCCACTCTCCTCTAGTATACATAATATCCTTACCCGTTCGTAAATTGTCTGATGTAGGGCCCCTCTAGTATACGTAATATCCTTACCCGTTCGTAAATTGTCTGATGTAGGGCCCCCTCCTCTCTAGTTTACATAATATCCTTACCCGTTCGTAAATTGTCTGATGTAGGGCCCCCCTCTCCTATAGTATAGGTAATATCCTTACCCGTTCGTAAATTGTCTGATGTAGGGCCCCCACCTCTCTAGTATACATAATATCCTTACCCGTTCGTAAATCGTCTGACGTAGGGCCACTCTCCTCTAGTATACGTAATATCCGTACCCGTTCGTAAATTGTCTGATGTAGGCCCCCCTCCCCTCTAGTATACGTAATATCCTTACCCGTTCGTAAATTGTCTGATGTAGGGCCACTCTCCTCTAGTATACATAATATCCTTACCCGTTCGTAAATTGTCTCATGTAGGCCTCCCTCCCCTCTAGTATACGTAATATCCTTACCCGTTCGTAAATTGTCTGATGTAGGCCCCCCTCCCCTCTAGTATACGTAATATCCTTACCCGTTCGTAAATTGTCTGATGTAGGACCCCCCTCTCCTGTGGTATACTTAATATCGCTACCCGTTCGTAAATTGTCTCATGTAGGGTCACTCTCCTCTAGTATACGTAATATCTTTACACGTTCGTAAATTGTCTGATGTAGGGCCCCCACCTCTCTAGTATACGTAATATCTTTACCCGTTCGTAAATTGTCTGATGTAGGGCCCCTCTAGTATACGTAATATCCTTACCCGTTCGTAAATTGTCTGATGTAGGGCCACTCTCCTCTAGTATACGTAAGATCCTTACTCGTTCGTAAATTGTCTGATCTAGGACCCCCACCTCTCTAGTATATGTAATATCTTTACCCGTTTGTAAATTGTCTGATGTAGGGCCCCCACCTCTCTAGTATACATAATATCCTTACCCGTTCGTAAATTGTCTGATGTAGGGCCACTCTAGTATACGTAATATCCTTACCCGTTCGTAAATTGTCTGATGTAGGACCCCCCTCTCCTGTGGTATACTTAATATCGCTACCCGTTCGTAAATTGTCTCATGTAGGCCTCCCTCCCCTCTAGTATACGTAATATCCTTACCCGTTCGTAAATTGTCTGATGTAGGCCCCCCTCCCCTCTAGTATACGTAATATCCTTACCCGTTCGTAAATTGTCTGATGTAGGACCCCCCTCTCCTGTGGTATACTTAATATCGCTACCCGTTCGTAAATTGTCTCATGTAGGGCCACTCTCCTCTAGTATACGTAATATCCTTACCCGTTCGTGAATTGTCTGATGTAGGGCCCCCACCTCTCTAGTATACGTAATATCTTTACCCGTTCGTAAATTGTCTGATGTAGGGCCCCTCTAGTATACGTAATATCCTTACCCGTTCGTAAATTGTCTGATGTAGGGCCACTCTCCTCTAGTATACGTAAGATCCTTACTCGTTCGTAAATTGTCTGATCTAGGACCCCTCTAGTATACGTAATATCCTTACCCGTTCGTAAATTGTCTGATGTAGGGCCACTCTCCTCTAGTATACGTAAGATCCTTACCCGATCGTAAATTGTCTAATGTAGGGCCCATTCCCTCTAGCCCGCGATGAAACCGAAGAGGAAACATGTCAACATAGGGCTACTGCCACCCAGAAACATAACATGACCTTAGAGGTGGGAATAAAGAGAACAGTTATATGATCAAAACACGCCGATAGTGAACTGAAATTAATCGGACATAGATATTAAACATCATAAATGGCTCCGGGATGTTTTTAATAAATTGATTAATCATTGTATAATTTACATTACAAATTAAAAGGGAGTTTTGTTTGGGGACAGATGGCATTGATAACACATGTTCATCTCACTGATAGCTACAACAGCCTAACCTTTATGTCAGAACTGTCCTTACTACTTACCACAATCTCAGGTGACTGTTACCTAGGTCTCATGTGACCTTTTCCTAATACAGCTGACAACAGAATTACCTCGGTAAGTACATGTCTTCTGTTTCTCTTCAGAACTGGTCCTGACAGAGACAGGACTATCAGTTAATCGAAAGTACAATATCTACGGCATATTTTGTACCTGTGTGTGTATCAAGTGGTATGGAAACAATGATAACAGAACTAGTAGAGCCTTGCCAGTATACTATCAGACGTCCCTGTTTTTGTGTCTTGAATTTTCACTTTAATTTATTTACTGTCCGCTGTTTCCGGCTGTTTCGTCTTCACTATTTACTGTCAACTGTTTCTGGCTGTTGCGTCTTCACTATAAACTGCCAACTGTTCTGACTGTTGCGTCTCCATTATTTACTGTCAACTGTTTACGTCTGTTTCGCCTTCACTATTTACTATCAACTGTTTCCGGCTGTTTCGCCTTCACTTTTTACTGTCAACTGTTTCCGGCTGTTGCGTCTTCATTATTTACTGTCAACTGTTTCCGGCTGTTGCGTCTTCACTATTTACTGTCAACTGTTTCTTCTGTTGCGTCTTCACTATTTACTGTCAACTGTTTCCGGCTGTTTCGCCTTCACTATTTACTGTCAACTGTTTCTGACTGTTGCGTCTTCACTATTAACTGTCAACTGTTTCCGGCTGTTTCGCCTTTACTATTTACTGACAACTGTTTCTGACTGTTGCGTCTCCATTATCTACTGTGAACTGTTTACGGCTGTTGCGTCTTCACTATTTACTATCAACAGTTTGCGACTGTTGTGTCTTCACTATTTACTGTCAACTGTTTCCGGCTGTTTCGCCCTCACTATTTACTTTCAACTGTTTCCGGTTGTTGCGTCTTCACTATTAACTGTCATCTGTTTCCGGCTGTTGCGTCTTCACTCTTTACTATCAACCGTTTCCGGCTGTTGCGTCTCCATTATTTACTATCAACTGTTTCCGGCTGTTGCGTCTTCACTATTTACTATCAACTGTTTCCGGCTGTTTCGCCTTCACTATTTACTGTCAACTGTTTCCGGCTGTTTCGCCTTTACTATTTACTGTCAACTGTTTACGGCTGTTGCGTCTTCACTATTAACTGTTAACTGTTTCCGGCTGTTTCGTCTCCACTACTTACTATCAACTGTTTCCGGCTGTTTCGCCTTCACTATTTACTGTCAACTCGTTATGACTGTTGCGTCTCCATTATTTACTGTCAACTGTTTCCGGCTGTTGCGTCTTCACTGTGTACTGTCAACTGTTTCCGGCTGTTGCGTCTTCACTGTGTACTGTCAACTGTTTCCGGCTGTTGCGTCTTCACTATTTACTATCAGCTATTTCCGGCTGTTGCGTCTTCACTGTGTAATGTCAACTGTTTCCGGCTGTTGCGTCTTCACTATTTACTGTCAACAATTTCAAACAATTGTTTTGCCAAGTGCTTCCGGTTGTTTTGTCTTGGCATGGTCACTTGATTAATTATCTTTTGTTGTAGATGAAACTGATACCGACAGGTCTAGTTCTCTTAATTATTGTCCACGAAGTCCGTAGCTGGGATCCTGATGCTGGACTGGTTACGTCATGGACAAAGAGAGCCGGAGTCACTGTGAACTCGTCAACTGGTAACAATCCCGGCCTCGTTTTGGATGGCAATGACGATACACACTGGTCTTCCGGTTCCTGTCTTCCAACAGGATTCATATCACGTCCGAGTATGAACGTTTTGCTCAATCTTTGCCAAACGTCTGCTTGTCGAGTGAATGGAGCACCAGACCATGACTTACGCCTGTTGACAGACAGCAGTATGTACACTACAAGTCTAGTAGGCATCGGACAAAATCATAGAGCAGAGATCATAATAGACACGAGTGGTGAAGACATTGCTCAGATATCAGTATGGGGAGTTTACAATGGCGACACTGAGTTGAAGATTGAGGATATACACGGTGCTGAAACCATACTGCAAACATTTAATCAGAGCGACAACTATAACCGGAGAACGTTTGTCGTCAACACCAAAGTAGACAATATCATACTGGAATCAGGATTGTCCTTCAGACTGAAGGAGGTAGCCGCTCTGGGGCGAGGTAGCTGTCAGGAGAGGGTTGTGGTAGACCTGGGTGTGGTACGGAGAATAGGCGTGGTCCGCACGAGACACTGGGCCGGGACGGATACGGCATACAGCACAAGTCTCACTATGTCTGTAGACGGACAAAGTTGGGACAAAGTGCGGGATTTACAGCCTACAGCATTACACGCTGTATACACGCGGTTACACTCGCCAACAGAGTACAGATACATAGCGCTAGAGTACGATGTGAAACTGAAGAATTACAACAAGGTCTACTGCTGGGAAATAGATTCCTACGACGAGTTTGGAATGTGGGGACCTGCCGCGAAGGCAAAACCGAACTCTGTGTCTATTGGCGAGATGCTAGGAGTGAACGGTATCTGGGGATGGGGACACAATCCAAATGGTGCCTCACTGTACAGCAGGGTCGCGTCATACGCCAGGAACTACCACAATCTCGACTGGGACGTACGGGACCCAGATTTCGATCCGCAGTTTGAACAAATGGGTCAAGGTCATGGTACCAATGCGTCCTGGTGGCTAAATTGGGACAGGGAATACAGCACGTGGCGATCGGCCGGTCTTAAGGTCGACACATCTATTCAATTCCTCAATAAGACATTTGCTGCTAATGTTTGGAACAACCCACGTAAATCTGCCTACACATACGGAAGGGAGTTCGGCAGGCACTTCGGCCCTCAAATAGGTAACGGTCTAGTGACCGCTATGGAGGTGGGCAATGAACCATGGGATTATAGTGCCGATTTCTATGCCACCGTTTTAGAGGGCATGACCGCAGGCGTAAGAGATGTCGACCAGATAATGAATGTCCTTCCTGGAGCCTTCCAAGCTTACACTATTGCTCCAGAGGAACCAAAAAGCGGAAATTACATCGGTAATAGAGTGAAGGAAGCCGTTGCAACGAATATCAGTGTTATCAATACGCATGCGTACAGTTTTATCACCAATGAAAACGGCCAGAGAGTAGGGACATATCCCGAACATCCGGATTCGACATTCAACAGCATCAGGAACATGATTCGCTGGAGGGACGTCAACACCCCTTGTAAACCTGTTTGGTTGACAGAGTGGGGCTGGGACGCTGACGGCGGGCAAGAGAACTGTTTTGCTACAGAATGCGTTACGGAAAGCGCCCAGGCACTGTACGGAGCCCGTGCGCTCTTCCTGTCTGCACGTCTCGGCATTGCCAGAGCCACATGGTATTTCTACGCGAACAGCGACACCTGTAACACATTGTTCTGCAGGAGCGGTTTAACTACCTCTATCAAACACAATTTCACGGAGAAAGCAGTTTTTCATATGTTCGAGTCTGTTCTTGGTAAAATGGGAAAGAGTTATTTCCGTACTGCATTAAAAGAAGATGATCGCGGACACGTGTACCTATTCGGCCAAGCCAATATCTTCCAAAACGTGACACACCTAGTCGCGTGGCTCCCATTGGATGCTAGTGACGTCACAATTCAAACAGAAACAGTGCCACTGCCTCTCTCATTACGTCCTGTGGCGGCATGGCGACTCACCGGAACTAATGCCGCCCTTCAGGACGAACCACTGCCCCACACCCAAGGCCTCAGGATGACGCTGACCCTCTCTATCAGGCCACTTATCGTGAAAGTGACGTCACCAGACCCTGTGGCTACTATTGGCTGAAGACCATGTGGTTCTTTGGGTAACGATGTAATGATTTTCCATCATAAAGACAAAGAACTACAAAACTTCATGTTTAGTGTTTTATGTGTGAACAACTGTCCAGACGTCCTTCTGTCCGATATACAAATACATGTACATGGTCGGGACAATAAACAGCTTTGAAACAATGAGATAGCGATTCACAGTGATATCAATATTTTATCTCATGATTCTTTTCACCAGCCCGGCGATCTGTTGGCTTTAACATTTCTAACAGACACTGTTCACATACATACCCCAGACGTATGGTAGTCAATTACATTTCTAACACACACTCTTCACATACATACCCAAGACGTATGGTAGTCAATTACATTTCTAACACACACTCTTCACATACATACCCAAGACGTATGGTAGTCAATTACATTTCTAACACACACTCTTCACATACATACCCCAGACGTATGGTAGTCAATTACATTTCTAACACACACTCTTCATATACATACCCCAGACGTATGGTAGTCAATTACATTTCTAACACACACTCTTCACATACATACCCCAGACGTAAGGTCGGCAATTACATTTCTAACACACACTCTTCATATACATACCCCAGACGTATGGTAGTCAATTACATTTCTAACACACACTCTTCACATACATACCCCAGACGTAAGGTCGGCAATTACATTTCTAACACACACTCTTCACATACATACCCCAGACGTAAGGTCGGCAATTACATTTCTAACACACACTCTTCATATACATACCCCAGACGTATGGTAGTCAATTACATTTCTAACACACACTCTTCACATACATACCCCAGACGTATGGTAGTCAATTACATTTCTAACACACACTCTTCACATACATACCCCAGACGTATGGTAGTCAATTACATTTCTAACACACACTCTTCATATACATACCCCAGACGTATGGTCGGCAATTACATTTCTAACACGCACTCTTCACATACATACCCCAGACGTAAGGTCGGCAATTACATTTCTAACACACACTCTTCATATACATACCCCAGACGTATGGTTGGCAATTACATTTCTAACACACACTCTTCATATACATACCCCAGACGTATGGTAGTCAATTACATTTCTAACACACACTCTTCACATACATACCCAAGACGTATGGTAGTCAATTACATTTCTAACACACACTCTTCACATACATACCCCAGACGTATGGTAGTCAATTACATTTCTAACACACACTCTTCATATACATACCCCAGACGTATGGTAGTCAATTACATTTCTAACACACACTCTTCACATACATACCCCAGACGTAAGGTCGGCAATTACATTTCTAAAACACACTCTTCATATACATACCCCAGACGTATGGTAGTCAATTACATTTCTAACACACACTCTTCACATACATACCCCAGACGTAAGGTCGGCAATTACATTTCTAACACACACTCTTCATATACATACCCAAGACGTATGGTAGTCAATTACATTTCTAACACGCACTCTTCACATACATACCCCAGACGTAAGGTCGGCAATTACATTTCTAACACACACTCTTCATATACATACCCCAGACGTATGGTAGTCAATTACATTTCTAACACACACTCTTCACATACATACCCCAGACGTAAGGTCGGCAATTACATTTCTAACACACACTCTTCATATACATACCCAAGACGTATGGTAGTCAATTACATTTCTAACACGCACTCTTCACATACATACCCCAGACGTAAGGTCGGCAATTACATTTCTAACACGCACTCTTCACATACACAATTATTTCTGACACATTGTTGATGTTTACATATTTGACCTACTGTGTTTAAAGTCGCATTTCTGACACATTGTTGACTTACATGTCTGACCTCCTGTGTTTAAAGTCGCATTTCTGACACATTGTTGACTAACATTTCTGACCTACTGTGTTTAAAGTCGCATTTCTGACACATTGTTGACTTACATGTCTGACCTCCTGTGTTTAAAGTCGCATTTCTGACACATTGTTGACTAACATTTCTGACCTACTCTGTTTAAAGTCGCATTTCTGACACATTGTTGACTAACATTTCTGACCTACTCTGTTTAAAGTCGTATTTCTGACACATTGTTGACTAACATTTCTGACCTACTGTGTTTAAAGTCGTATTTCTGACAGTGTTGACTTACATGTCTGACCTGTTTTTAAAGTCGCATTTCTGACACATTGTTGATGTTTACATATTTGACCTACTGTGTTTAAAGTCGCATTGTTGACTTACATGTCTGACCTCCTGTGTTTAAAGTCGCATTTCTGACACATTGTTGACTAACATTTCTAACCTACTGTGTTTATAGTTACATTTCTGACACATTGTTGACTAACATTTCTAACCTACTGTGTTTATAGTTACATTTCTGACACATTGATGACTAACATTTCTGACCTGTGTTTAAAGTCGCATTTCTGACACATTGTTCACACAAACGTCCCTGGTGTACTGTTGGCATTTCTGACACATTGTTTACACAAACGTTCCTGGTGTACTGTTGGCATTTCTGACACATTGTTCACACAAACGTCCCCGGTGTACTGTTGACAGTTCTGACACATTGTTCACACAAACGTCCCCGGTGTACTGTTGACATTTCTGACACAATGTGTTTACACAACTGTCCCAGGTGTACTGTTGACAGTTCTGACACACTGTGTTTACATAAACGTCCCCGGTGTACTGTTGACAGTTCTGACACACTGTGTTTACACAAACATCCTCGGTGTACTGTTGACATTTCTGACACACTGTGTTTACACAAACGTCTCCAGTGTACTGTTGACATTTCTGACACACTGTGTTTACATAAACGTTCCCGGTGTACTGTTGACATTTCTGACACAATGTGTTTACACAAACGTCCCCGGTGTACTGTTGACATTTCACAATGTGTTTACACACACTGTGTTTACACAAACGTCCCCGGTGTACTGTTGACATTTCTGACACAATGTGTTTACACAAACGTCCCGGGTGTACTGTTGACATTTCTGACACATTGTTCACACAAACGTCTCCAGTGTACTGTTGACATTTCTGACACACTGTGTTTACATAAACGTTCCCGGTGTACTGTTGACATTTCTGACACAATGTGTTTACACAAACGTCCCCGGTGTACTGTTGACATTTCTGACACACTGTGTTTACACAAACGTCCCCGGTGTACTGTTGACATTTCTGACACAATGTGTTTACACAAACGTCCCGGGTGTACTGTTGACATTCCTGACACATTGTTCACACAAACGTCCCCGGTGTGCTGTTGACATTTCTGACACACTGTGTTTACACAAACGTCCCCGGTGTACTGTTGACATTTCTGACACATTGTTCACACAAACATCCCCGGTGTACTGTTAACATTTCTGACACATTGTTCACACAAACGTCCCCGGTGTACTGTTGATAGTTCTGACACACTGTATCGGTGACCAGGATGAAAATGTTCCATGATATAACTAGTCTACTGTCAAATGAATATTGGATAATTTCACCGCTGGACTCCGCCTACTCGTCTTTTCGTAGGCATCTAACTGAAAACAGAAAAAAAAGACAAGTAGCTTGTACTGGTTGCGCGATTCGAGACCGCAAGGTTCGAGATAATCAGAATGAGAAGTTATTTGGTGTCATACAGAACTACATGACTAGTGTATAGCAGTAATGTTATTTCAGGTGGACAAAACTCCCTTACTCCGTTACTTCGCTGGTCACAAGATCACCTGTTATCGTACAAAAAGTGCCGTTAATTTGTACTTCACTGAAAATTCCCGAGTAACTAAATAACCTTACCAATTTCGGGGATAAAGTGCAACATTTTCCCCCTCCTTTTACATTCCTTGTATACGTGGTTGAAATATCATTAATGTAATTAATTTCAACAAAATTTTATTAACATTCCATATGTTAAACGGACTGGACAACAGGCTGAGCCTATATCAGTCCTTTCCAGAATTAATACATAAATACTAAATTAGGATATAACAGGTAAAGGGAGGTAACTCCAATTTATTGTGGAACGTAAAGTAGTTCATTATGTCAGATTATTTTTCATTAATGTAATACAATAACATTCAGGGAACATATTTCGTCTGTACCTTTGGGATCAAATCAAACTTTACTATATGTTATCAAATGGTGACCTGCTTCAAACAGTCGCCAACGAAGAGATACTCAAACACAAAATTTACTCGATTAAAAGATTTCATCAACCTGTATCCCGATACAGTCACGTGTATAGGCTTCATCAACCTGTATCCCGATACAGTCACGTATTAAAGGCTTCATCAACCTGTATCCCGATACAGTCACGTATTAAAGGCTTCATCAACCTGTATCCCGTTACTGTCACGTGTTAAAGGCTTCATCAACCTGTATGCCGATACTGTCACGTATTAAAGGCTTCATCAACCTGTATGCCGATACTGTCAAGTGATACAGGCTTCAGCAACCTGTATCCCGATACTGTCACGTGTTACAGGCTTCATCAACCTGTATCCCGATACAGTCACGTATTAAAGGCTTCATCAATCTGTATCCCGATACTGTCACGTGTATAGGCTTCATCAACCTGTATCCAAATAGTGTCACTTGATACAGGCTTCGGCACTCTGTATCCCGATACTGTCACGTGTTACAGGCTTCATCAACCTGTATCCCGTTACTGTCACGTATTAAAGGCTTCATCAACCTGTATGCCGATACTGTCAAGTGATACAGGCTTCAGCAACCTGTATCCCGATACTGTCACGTGTTACAGGCTTCATCAACCTGTATCCCGATACTGACAGGTGTTACAGGCTTCATCAACCTGTATCCCGATACTGACACGTGTTACAGGCTTCATCAACCTGTATCCCGATACTGACACGTGTTACAGGCTTCATCAACCTGTATCCCGATACTGTCACGTGATACAGGCTTCGGCAACCTGTATCCCGATACTGTCACGTGTTATAGGCTTCATCAACCTGTATGCCGATACTGTCACGTGATATAGGATTCATCAACATGTATCACGATACTGTCACGTGTTACAGTCTTCATCAACCGGTATCCCGATACTGTTACGTGTTATAGGCTTCGGCAACCTGTATCCCGATACTGTCACGTGTTATAGGCTTCGGCAACCTGTATCCCGATACTGTCATGTGTTATAGGCTTCATCAACCTGTATCCCGATACTGTCACGTGATATAGGCTTCATCAACCTGTATTCCGATACTGTCACATGTTAAAGGCTTCATCAACCTGTATCCCGATACTGTCACGTGTTACAGGCTTCATCAACCTCCATCCCGATACTGTTATGTGTTAAAGGCTTCATCAACCCGTATCGCGATACTGTCACGTGTTAAAGGCTTCATCAACCTGTATCCCGACACTGTCACGTGTTAAAGGCTTCATCAACCTGTATCACGATACTGTCACGTGATATATACTTCGGCAACCTGTATCACGATACTGTCACGTGTTATAGGCTTCATCAACCTGTATCCCGATACTGTCACGTGTTTAAGGCTTCGGCTACCTGTATCCCGATACTGTCACGTGATACAGGCTTCGGCAACCTGTATCCCGATACTGTCAAATGTTATAGGCTTCATTAACATGTACCACGATACTGTCACGTGATACAGGCTTCGGCAACCTGTATCCCGATACTGTCACGTGTTAAAGGCTTCATTAACATGAACCACGATACTGTCACGTGATACAGGCTTCGGCAACCTGTATCCCGATACTGTCACGTGTTAAAGGCTTCAATAACATGTACCACGATACTGTCACGTGTTAAAGGCTTCATTAACATGTACCACGATACTGTCACATGTTAAAGGCTTCATCAACCTGTATCCCGATACTGTCACGTGTTACAGGCTTCATCAACCTGTATCCCGATACTGTCACGTGTTAAAGGCTTCATCAACCTGTATCCCGACACTGTCACGTGTTAATGGCTTCATCAACCTGTATCACGATACTGTCACGTGATATATACTTCGGCAACCTGTATCACGATACTGTCACGTGTTATAGGCTTCATCAACCTGTATCCCGATACTGTCACGTGTTATAGGCTTCGGCAACCTGTATCCCGATACTGTCATGTGTTATAGGCTTCATCAACCTGTATCCCGATACTGTCACGTGATATAGGCTTCATCAACCTGTATTCCGATACTGTCACATGTTAAAGGCTTCATCAACCTGTATCCCGATACTGTCACGTGTTACAGGCTTCATCAACCTCCATCCCGATACTGTTATGTATTAAAGGCTTCATCAACCCGTATCGCGATACTGTCACGTGTTAAAGGCTTCATCAACCTGTATCCCGACACTGTCACGTGTTAAAGGCTTCATCAACCTGTATCACGATACTGTCACGTGATATATACTTCGGCAACCTGTATCACGATACTGTCACGTGTTATAGGCTTCATCAACCTGTATCCCGATACTGTCACGTGTTTAAGGCTTCGGCTACCTGTATCCCGATACTGTCACGTGATACAGGCTTCGGCAACCTGTATCCCGATACTGTCAAATGTTATAGGCTTCATTAACATGTACCACGATACTGTCACGTGATACAGGCTTCGGCAACCTGTATCCCGATACTGTCACGTGTTAAAGGCTTCATTAACATGAACCACGATACTGTCACGTGATACAGGCTTCGGCAACCTGTATCCCGATACTGTCACGTGTTAAAGGCTTCATTAACATGTACCACGATACTGTCACGTGTTAAAGGCTTCATTAACATGTACCACGATACTGTCACATGTTAAAGGCTTCATCAACCTGTATCCCGATACTGTCACGTGTTACAGGCTTCATCAACCTGTATCCCGATACTGTCACGTGTTAAAGGCTTCATCAACCTGTATCCCGACACTGTCACGTGTTAATGGCTTCATCAACCTGTATCACGATACTGTCACGTGATATATACTTCGGCAACCTGTATCACGATACTGTCACGTGTTATAGGCTTCATCAACCTGTATCCCGATACTGTCACGTGTTAAAGGCTTCATCAACCTGTATCCCGACACTGTCACGTGTTAATGGCTTCATCAACCTGTATCACGATACTGTCACGTGATATATACTTCGGCAACCTGTATCACGATACTGTCACGTGTTATAGGCTTCATCAACCTGTATCCCGATACTGTCATGTGTTACAGGCTTCGGCAACCTGTATCCCGATACTGGCACGTGTTTAAGGCTTCGGCTACCTGTATCCCGATACTGTCACGTGATACAAGCTTCGGCAACCTGTATCCCGATACTGTCAAGTGTTATAGGCTTCATTAACATGTACCACGATACTGTCACGTGATACAGGCTTCGGCTACCTGTATCCCGATACTGTCACGTGTTAAAGGCTTCATTAACATGTACCACGATACTGTCACGTGTTAAAGGCTTCATTAACATGTACCACGATACTGTCACGTGATACAGGCTTCGGCAACCTGTATCCCGATACTGTCACGTGTTAAAGGCTTCATTAACATGTACCACGATACTGTCACGTGTTAAAGGCTTCATTAACATGTACCACGATACTGTCACGTGTTAAAGGCTTCATTAACATGTACCACGATACTGTCACGTGATACAGGCTTCGGCAACCTGTATCCCGATACTGTCACGTGTTAAAGGCTTCATCAACCTGTATCACGATACTGTCACGTGATACAGGCTTCATTAACATGTACCACGATACTGTCACGTGTTAAAGACTTCATTAACATGTACCACGATACTGTCACGTGTTAAAGGCTTCATTAACATGTACCACGATAGGCTTTATTGACGTTTTCACTTACGTTCACAATCATTATCCTATCGCTTGGCATTTCTTCCGTGATTACAATTGTCCTGTCGTCAGACAAACATGTTGCTAGGGGAAACTTCATATCCATTTCCGGTAGGTAGTCGTCACACGTGGTCCCCATGTTTACGTCTAGTTTTTGGACTACACCTCTGTCATAAACAGACATGTACACGTCACCAGACGTTGTCACGCCCACTCCGCTAGGAGTCCCTTCAGGGTCGTGAACAAATTTAAGTTCTCCTTTAGTAGTGACACACACCAGTTCCCTCCGGCCGGAGTCACACACTAGTACATACCGACCAGCAAAGCACGTCAGACTCGCCGGGGTGCGAAAAATACGTGATTTATTGTCATCTCTTTCTATAGAAAAGAGCACGTCGCCTTCAAAAGTCAAGATATCAACAGATCCATGGCCTAACTCACAACATCCAGCCACGAGGCGCATCTCGTCCAGACAGGATACAGACTGGTACTTCCGGTTTGTATGTCTGGAAGAACTGATAGACATTTTGCCGCCCGTTTCCACGGATATGAAAGTGATGACTTGTTGCTGAGGTTGAGTCACAGCCACGTGAGAGGATAAATAAAGTTTGGTGACGCCACAGGGATCATCTAGTTTGACAACATCGACTAACGTCATATCCGAGTTGAATCTTTTGACACTTTTATTTTCGTTATCAATGACAATAAATGCACCAGGAAGCACAGCGATGTCTGTGAGCAGACATTGGGCTTCGTGTGGAAGACGTGCACTAAACACTGTCAGTGGGTCAGGGAATCTCTCAGATAACGACATATTGGCAGAACACATCTGAGAAGGTTTATACTGATATCCTGGTTTGTCACATACACATATTTCACGTGACTATATCATAATGGCTGACACGATTGTCCACGGTATATACATGTTCACGTTGTCGTGATAATTTGGATGATCTCCAAACTTGTCATAACATGCTGATACCAACACACTGTTCAGCGCTACCAAAACATGGTGGCACCGACAAACATCGCTCAACTCTTAAACAATCTATAACAGGTGGCGTTGTACTCACAGTTGTCCCAGTGTCTGGTCATATGTCTACTTCAACGTTAAGGACTGGAGTCCATCTGTTCCCGGGTGTCCATAGTGTCGTTTGTAGGTGATGTTCCAGTATTGTACAGGTACTTACAGGCCAGGTACTCGATGTGTGCTCGACGTGTACTTACTTACCTGTGTAGAGATTTAAATGTGTGTATTGATCTATCGACTGATCCATACTGATCGGACTAAATTCTCGGCCTCCATGTAAATCAAAATAATATTCATACCAGATAGGTATACTTCTACTGGACTGATGACGTCACAGTGTTTGGAAGATTGTATACAAACATTCAGGTGAAGAGCACATTCGGCTGCACACTTAGTGTTATATAGAACCTAACAAAATCTAGTCACGTGGCTCTTGTAAACGTGCAAAAATAGTTTAATTTTGTACAATGATGCTAGCAAGACATCTTATTTATTGTGATTGATCTATATATAGATTAAATAACGATTACAAGTATTGATAACTTTTAATGATAAACACAGAAGTCAGGGAATGATTTTCAACGCTGACGTTAAGCGGGGGATCATATATCAGTTATACAAACAACTATTACCAGAAAACAAATATACTCAGCAGCCTTAATTATATAGATATATATATAACTCGTTTGCAGTTATTGTACAACATGTCATATTTCCTAAATAAACATTTACCTACCAATCCCCTAACAAATAGTCATGAGATTGTAATGACAAATTTCCCTGTACTAATTTATCTTTCTTACTTTCTACGCTGCATCAGCTCCGCGATTTATATACGTTTTTATTGTCGTATGAATTGGTCTGGTTTTCAGAGTAGAATAAGTATGGAAATAATAGATGGAAGTCGGCCTTTTCCGTCCTGTATGCGCTGTCGTCAGACCCACGTCTAACAGAGAAGTTGACAAACTTAGTTATCTCGTGTTTTAAGGACTTTGTTGCCAATTGTATGGCTGATATTAAATTCGTTTTGTTATAATTTCACATGTTGGCAAAGTTAATTATTTGATTTATATATCAATTTGTGAAGGCCTCTTGCTGAAATGAAAAAAAATCGAATGTGATCGTCAGCCATTTTTGTTTACACTGGAGATCGAGACATGAGGGGTTTCCTACACCGATAGAATCACTGTAAACTGTAGTTTTCAGTCTCATAAACTACAATTTGACTAATGTTAGAACTTGTGTCCAGTCCTGCCGTCATTGATTAAACTAATGACCTAGACTGTATGACCAGACTTCATTAATCATCATATATAGAATAATATCTACAAATACCAAACATGTTAAAGTAGGTCACTGTGACTCGACCTTTTTGTTGCATTTTTATCCAATAGCGTAGGCTTATGCATGACTTCCGAGAAGGTCCGTGCTAGTTCCTGTTTTCGAATCCTCTAAAATTATTCATCTATGTAATATTTTGTCACTGTTGTACATTTTATTAAATACATTTTATTATAATTATAATATTCGCTGCCAACGACTTTCTCGCATTTTCTGCCATATACAATGTTTCTCGAATCTTTTGAATTTTCAGTTTTTTGGTGACGTTAAATTGAAAGTACAAGTATGCTTACATTTTTATCGTTTGTTTTCGATAGAACTTTGTAACGACAGCCATGTTATTATATTGTTATATTTTTCAGAGCTTCGTGGAATTTGTGACTTTGATCACAAACAGATGTAAATCCAGTCCAATATACATAGTAGACTGGCGTCTTTTATCGAATTGTTTACGTTCTAGATACAGGTGTCTGTGTTTGGATTAACCAAGATTACATCGCGGGGGTTGATGAAGCAGAAAAGGCTTATCTTTCCGGAGCCCTTTGCGAACCCTTCCGGAACCTTCCGGTATATCGTTTGTTTTTCTTGCTTTGTGTAACTCACTTTATTGAAATGATATTATTTTGTGACAAAGGGAAAGTGTTCCCCCAACAGTAAATCGGTGTATTGTACCTAACACTGGAAACACAGAAATATGATAACAGATATAAAGAGAGATGAGATCCCACGGTTTTCACCCTCACGGATTGTATAGCCAGATGAGATCCCAGGGTTTTCACCCTCACGGATTGTATAGTCAGATGAGATCCCAGGGTTTTCACCTTCTCGGATTGTATAGCCAGATGAGATCCCAGGGTTTTCACCCTCACGGATTGTATAGCCAGATGAGATCCCAGGGTTTTCACCCTCTCGGATTGTATAGTCAGATGAGATCCCAGGGTTTTCACCTTCTTGGATTGTATAGTCAGATGAGATCCCAGGGTTTTCACCCTCTCGGATTGTAAAGCCAGATGAGATCCCAGGTTTTTTTTTCACCTTCTCGGATTGTAAAGTCAGATGAGATCCCAGGTTTTTTTTTCACCTTCTCGGATTGTAAAGTCAGATGAGATCCCAGGGTTTTCACCCTCTCGGATTGTATAGTCAGATGAGATCCCAGGGTTTTTTCACCTTCTCGGATTGTATAGTCAGATGAGATCCCAGGGTTTTCACCTTCCCGGATTGTATAGTCAGATGAGATCCCAGGGTTTTTTCACCTTCTCGGATTGTATAGTCAGATGAGATCCCAGGGTTTTTTCACCTTCTCGGATTGTATAGTCAGATGAGATCCCAGGGTTTTCACCTTCCCGGATTGTATAGTCAGATGAGATCCCAGGGTTTTCACCCTCTTGGATTGTATAGTCAGATGAGATCCCAGGGTTTTCACCCTCTTGGATTGTATAGTCAGATGAGATCCCAGGGTTTTCACCCTCACGGATTGTATAGCCAGATGAGATCCCAGGGTTTTCACCTTCCCGGATTGTATAGTCAGATGAGATCCCAGGGTTTTCACCTTCCCGGATTGTATAGTCAGATGAGATCCCAGGTTTTTTTTTCACCTTCTCGGATTGTAAAGTCAGATGAGATCCCAGGGTTTTCACCCTCTCGGATTGTATAGTCAGATGAGATCCCAGGGTTTTCACCCTCTTGGATTGTATAGTCAGATGAGATCCCAGGGTTTTCACCCTCTCGGATTGTAAAGCCAGATGAGATCCCAGGTTTTTTTTTCACCTTCTCGGATTGTAAAGTCAGATGAGATCCCAGGTTTTTTTTTCACCTTCTCGGATTGTAAAGTCAGATGAGATCCCAGGGTTTTCACCCTCTCGGATTGTATAGTCAGATGAGATCCCAGGGTTTTCACCCTCTCGGATTGTATAATCAGATGAGATCCCAGGGTTTTCACCCTCTCGGATTGTATAGTCAGATGAGATCCCAGGGTTTTCACCTTCCCGGATTGTATAGTCAGATGAGATCCCAGGGTTTTCACCCTCTCGGATTGTAAAGTCAGATGAGATCCCAGGGTTTTCACCCTCTTGGATTGTATAGCCAGATGAGATCCCAGGGTTTTCACCTTCTCGGATTGTATAGTCAGATGAGATCCCAGGGTTTTCACCTTCTCGGATTGTATAGTCAGATGAGATCCCAGGGACTCGGTTTCGGAATTTTGTATGACATCAGTTAATGATCACAACACTATAAAACCAGTATTTAAACACACTCTGAAACGTAGTGAAAATTTGGGCTATCGATGTGTAAAACTCCAAATTTTCCTAAAGTGATTGTATGTTACGGTTATTAGCTGATGTCATAAATTACTGAAAATCCCGAAACCGAGTCCCTTTGGGTGAGATACCTATCATCTCTCGTATAGACAGTCAGAAGATGAGCTGAAGTTAGACAATTTTAAAGATATAACTGTCTTTTCTGACAGAATGATACTTTGTTGAAAATAGTCTTCTATATATTGATAATAATGTTAACAAATTAGATGAATGGAATACTGAATGAACATGACGTTGTGACAATGTCTGACTGGTTTCGGACTCCAGTCCAACTATTGTTCACATGAATACAATTCTATGCGGAGTTTTACCGCTGTTTTATATCAATTATATAGGAATGCGTGCATTGAGGTGGATCGTCTCATTTTCACCGCTTAGTGTTAGGATATAATAGAGTTGCTTCCCCTTGCCCATGAATGACGTCAACAGACGCCCAGTCCTTGTAGAGCCGGGATAATTGTAAACTGAATTCCAAGTACGGAGGGCGGCACTTGAATAACGAAGAAACTCCAGTTCAGTTGAAGCTCGATGAATTGTTCATAGAGAGAAAACAACAAGTCACTTACAATGGAAATCCACAAGGTTATGACGAAGAAGACTAACACGGGAATAGCAGCACAAATAACTATGAACTTACAGGGATATTTCAGCACAAATTATAGACTTGCAAGGGAAGCACGGCACAAACTATACATTTACTTGTAAATTAAAGCTAAAATTATCAAATAACAGAGAAATTACAGCAAAAATTGTAAACTTACAGGGAAATTACAACACCATTTATAGAACAAGGAAATTACAGCACATATAATAGTAAACGGACAGGGAAATTACAGCACATTTAACAGTAGACGGACAGGGAAATTACAGCACATATAACAGTAGACGGACAGGTAAATTACGGCACATATAACAGTAGACGGACAGGGAAATTACAGCACATTTAACGGTAGACGGACAGGGAAATTACAGCACATTTAACCGTAGACGGACAGGGAAATTACAGCACATTTAACAGTAGACGGACAGGGAAATTACAGCACATTTAACAGTAGACGGACAGGGAAATTACAGCACATTTAACAGTAGACGGACAGGGATATAACAGCACATTTAACAGTAGACGGACAGGGAAATTAC